CCCCCCCCCCCCCCCCCCCCCACTCGCATAGATCCTGCTGCACCCCTACGTGCACGCGCAGCAGCTCCCGATCATCACCTTCGGAAACGCGCACGGCATCGTGAGCGAGGCGTACAGCGTGCTCATCCCGCTCACGCACCAGCCCGGCGGACCCGTCGACAAGCCCGTCGGCGCGATTGCCACGCGCCTCAGCGTGAAGCCCGAGCAGGTGCTCCTCGCGTGGGCGAAGGCGAAGGGCGTCGTCGTCGTGACCTCGAGCACGAAGAAGGAGCGCCTGGAGGGGTACCTTGCTGCGGGCGACATCGGTACGTCCTTCCCTGTCGTTTTACTCGGCGAGGGAACTCAACAATCCTGCTGTAGAGTTGACACCTGCGGACATCGTTGCTATCGACGTTGCGGGCGCGGCTGGGGCGCGACAGTTGACCGTGCGCACCTTCGTGAATCGTGTCGCCGTAGTGACCCTCGCTACCGCACTCGCGTTCGCGGTGTGCGGGTACATGGGCGTCGACCTGATTTGATCAATAGCCGACTATAGTCGATTGTGTATGTGTATGCTCGAGGGCAGCCTTTCTTGGTGATGTGCATCGTCTGAGGTGGATGTAAAATACATGAAAAGCTGTGTTGTACTGTAGTGTATGTACGCTGAATCGACGATCAGTGCTGTGCTTGTATGAGACACACGACAGCTGAACCTTACCTGGTTTAGAGCGGATCGTACATGAGATCATTCAGTACGATCCCAAGATCTCGCGCTAGCTTCGCCGCGAGCTCGAACCCGATCCCGCACTTGAATGTCGGCGTCCCATCTAGCCTGTCTTGGGGAGACGTTCGCACTAGGAGGCGCATGCTCGCCAGTTCCATAATCTAGTATAACCTTGGTATCAGCATTCTTTCACGTGCTTTGCCTGTGCGACCTACGTTCGCCTGTAGCGCAACGCGCGAAATCTCCATCTCAGTGTACTCTCCGGGGAGCGTGTACTGCGGGGCGGCTGGGCGCACGTCTGCATCATTCTCTTCCAGAAGCACACCAAGCATCGCGATCAGGCGGTCCAGTGGGAAGGTCGTTGGGCCCAACAACCGTTGCGGTATCTGTTCCTGTCGTCAACAAAAACCTGTCTGAATGTGCGGACAATAGACGCACCTTGACAGCGGTCCCCGTCGTACCCGGCTTAGGCTTGCGCGGAGTGCCCACCTTCCTTCGCCGTCTACGTGTGCGCTCGTCGAGGCCGCGTCCAAACATACGTAAATCGCTCCGCGCGGGGTTCGTGCTCGCAAGGAAAGCGGCAACGAGGATGAACTTGGCCATGCGAGGGAGTGCCTCCAGTCCCGCGCCCGTGTCTGCATCAGCAGCCGCAAGTGCAACGGTGCGTGTATGCAGCGCCTGCGATGCGTGGGCGGGAGGGACGGCTAGCAGGTCGTCGGGCGGCGAGTGTGTATGCGCCCAGTGCTCTGCGTGCGTAAGGCGCGGGTAGAGTGCCTCGAGCGCGCTGGTGAGAGAGGACGAGAAGAGCCGCGTGAGGCGGAGGCGTACATCTTCACTTGGAGGTGCGAGCGTGTCATCGGTCCCGTCTTCGTGATTGAGCTCTTCCTCGTCGGGTTGGGCGGCGTGCAGGCGGCGATGGGCATCCAGGATGGGCTGCACGAACCCTGGCCAGCGTGCTGCAGCAATGTATGCTAGCTCAGCTGGGTCGTGCGTGAATGGCCCGCATGCGCTGTAGAGCGTTGCAATGAAGTGTGCGTAAAGCGGCCTGAGCGCAGGGTTGTATGCGCCTAAGGCAGCACTTGAGGACGCCTCGTTCGGGGATGGAACGGGGAACGAAGATGCAAGAATGTCTAGAGTAGCTGCAATGGCGTGAGCATGGTCGACGAAGGCTTGGAATGGTGCGGCGATGCCCACCTTGCTTTGAGAGGAAGGGCACATCGATGTAGTAAGGTTCCGGCGCAGCGCGGAGAGGTGGGCGTATGTCCTGCCATTGGTTCTCGGATATGAAGACCGTCGTGATATCGACTCGTGTCTGATGAAAGAGATGTCCACAATTTAGATAATTGCGGTTAAACGGGCTCGACGTTGCGGACACCCAGACCCGCAAGGTAGCCTCACATCCGAAAACGGAGGACAATGGGGGATATCACGGACACCATGTGGTGGACGTGTTCATCTGAGTAACTCCGAGAAACATGCGGCTCACCAGCTCAGAAAGTCGGGTCAGAGGCACGAGCAGGTCTGGCAAGTTGTCCTTGAGGCGCTCTGCTCGGTCCACCACGAGTACCAATCTCCCGGTGGCTTGCGCGTGCTCAGATGCCTTGCCTTTGCCCTTCCCCGCCCCGTTTACACCAGTACTTGCAGTCACCACCTCCGCGTATATTGCTTGGATGCCGTGTACAAACGAGTCGAAGTTCTCGTTGTGGCGCCGTCCGTCCGCTGTTCCAGGCCAGTTCAGCGCGCCTGTGTCCCAGTCAGGTGTCCAGCCAGCCAGCGAGTTGAGGGCTGTGTCGAACAAAATTCTGGAAGAGAAGCATGCCACAGCATTCACGCAGGAGTAGGTGAGGTTCACAGGAGCATCGCTTTGGGAAGCCAGATTGTCGAGGGTGGACGTAACGACCGATGAGGTGAGACGGGCGTTCTCAGGATCATGGACAAAGATAAAGGGTGGGGGGTCGGAGAGCAGCAACGCAGACAAGTGGGAGACAACAAGCTCGTAGTCCGGAGACGCAGCGAGTGCGGTGCGCAGCGCGGGGGAGATCTCGCCCATCGCGAGGGGAGGGAGGAGACAAAGGGGAACAGGCGCCCGCGACGCGTCGCGCATAGTGGGTGCGTCACATGATGCGGTGTCCCACGATCGGCGATCGCGCGCCCCGCCTCGAGAAGCGTCGACATTGTTTTTTCCATAGAGAGCAGTCGAGCGCCTCCGCTTCCGTTCCTTCCTTTGTCCTCGACCACGACCATCTCCTGCTACTTATCTCCCTCTGTCCTGCTGTCGCTCGTTCCTCCCATACCCACCGCTCTCACCCGCATACACCGTCTGTGCCGGGCATGAAACTCGTCGTCCGAGTCCAGTACATAGGCGATCGCGCCCGCATGCTTCTCAGAGAGGACCTAGCTCCAGAATACACCAAGGGCCTCATCGATGATCTCACCTTCTTCGGATTCCCTGTCCCCCATGAACAGAAGCCAATAGAAAAATCGGGCTTCATGCTTTGCGTCTACTATGTCGACCGGGACAGTGTAAGTCCTCTTACGTGGACTACAGTGACGCTCAAAGCGCTAACCAAGTTACAGGACGGACATCGTATTATACAGAATGCATTTCAGAAAGCCAAGGCTGAGGCAGCCTTCCTGGTCGACAGGTCTATGTGAGCCCCAGCTTTTGCGTGGCACACTCTGCGCTATTCAACTGACGCCACGCAAGCCGATACATTTCCTTAAACGAAGAGTACGTCGGCCTGCCCGCCTGGAAAGGTCAGTTGTCAAGTCTTTCGTCTGACGCTCGCTCTCTAGTGGCGTGATGCACACCACGAACCTGTCCCAGAAGCCGTACAAGCCGAAGATTTACAATAAGCCGGAATTCCAGAATTCGAACCCACAACCGGGGAGTTCGTATCTGGCTCCCGCTCCCACCTACAGCAAGCCGCAGCCCTACGGGAAAGCGCCCAGATATCCCACTACCATCGCGCAAGCCCGACACGCCGTCTCTCCTATAGGATATAAGATGCCGGCGGACATCGCCGGCCCATCTGGCCACCACACCTTGGAATATGGTGACTATGAGATGAAACATGTTCCACGCTCTCCTCCTGCTGGCAGTGACGAGGATATGGGCGGGGTCGATACCACGCAACATACCCTCATGCAGCTGAGCCAGTCTACTGCCTTCCAGTCGCTCTTGCAGAAGGCTACTCCAACGTCTCCTATCCAAGTAAGCCAGCCCCGCCTTTAAAAGATTTATTCGAATGTAATCTCTTACCTTTGCTAGCCCGTGCCCGTCAAGCCCGAACCTACGTCTCCAGCTGACATGTCAATGCTTCTGAGGCAGCCACTCTCCAACCCTACGCCGCAGCCGCAGATTCCTAATCTGCAGGCGCTGCTCGAGAAGGCGGGTGTGAGGAGCACCACTGCGCATGCGTTCCTGCAGAACCAGCCTCCGCCGCAAAGCCAATACCATCCCGCTAGCAGTAACATGGGCTTCGGGCCGACCCCCTCCACAGTTGCTGCCTCCCACGCACCTCCGCCGCAACCCACAGTAGCAGCGCCTAGCCAGATCACCGTCCCTTCCAACATGGCAAACACCAGTGCCACTGTAGGGGCGAGCGTTCCTCGGCCTGCGACTACCACACCGCGCGTCCCAACGTTGCGCGAGCTGTGGGATATTCGCCGGGAGATCACTGCACTGCAAGCGCGCGGACGCAATGTCGCCGCGGACCTGCGCGCTGCAGGACAGCAAATCCCTCTCGGACCTGAGGATGCGACTCCCCCCAGCATGACCGGCGGCGGGACTCCTAGCAGCGGCGCGGATCTGCTCAAGATGCGCGAACTTGAGGCTGACATCGTTGGTACGTGTTCGCCCTTCTATGTCTTCCCACGATTCCCAATTGTGACTTGCGCTCCTCCATATTCCTCTACCTCCACTCCTCTATTGTCTGCATGCGTTGATGCATCGAACATCCGCAACCACCCACGCACTCGATCGTTCGCATGTGCACGCCTTGACGATCGAACTGCGTTCGGCCCTTTCTCCGCCATCGTAACCGGCTCCGTCCTCCCCAGCCCTGCGCCAACAGCTCGCCCGAGAAACTGAGAGTCGCAAGCTTGCCGACGCAACCCTGCGAGCGGAGCGCGCGCTCCGCTCCGACGTCGAGGACGTGAAGCGCGAGATGCGCCAGCCGTTCGTCGTGCCCGCACTCTACGACGCGTTCATGAAGATCGGGCAGATGTCGAACGACGGCTACCAGGACGGACCACAGGCCGGCGGCAGCAGCATGAACATGGACATGTAGGCTGCGGCCCGGCGTCGTGTGTCGCGGGCGGTAGCGGCGGTAGTGCGGCGCGACGAGAGAGGATGCACGACGACGCGGGCCGCCGGCCACGAGGAGCGAGAGCGAGAACGGGTGTGTCGCTGTGCTAACGCGCGACGACACCGTGGTAGTTTGGTCTACCTACACTGAAGCGGCGCGCGGGCGCGCTGCACTCCCGGTGTCCGACGGCTCCCTGTGCGACGCGGACGGGATTCTCGAACGGTATCGGTTTTCTCGGCGATTGCGTCTCCCCATGGCAGTGTCCACGGGGGACGTGCGCCGGACGGGGACGTGCGCCGGACTTCAGGCGACTGGTCGCCCACCGTTTGCTCATCGTCACGCCTACGAAAGGCGCGGTCCCTGGTTCTGGTTCTGGTTACGGAAACAAATCTGCTTCTTTCTGCTCTGCTTCTTCTGAATGCGTACGCGCGGGTGTGCGGCGGCACCGCCGTACACACCGTGCGTGCGAACGGCCCCGAGACGGTTTTCAGCGTATTGTTCTCTCGCGAACAAACACGGCCATGACGCAGCCGCCCAGCAATTCGAGCCCGATATAGGCGACTGGAGGGAGGGTGACGGGGAGAAGGGCTGTACGAGTTAATGCTGTCGACGGACTGGTCTAGTAGTGTGTATCCATTGTATGCCTTCATTTACCTCAAACGACTCGCCATCTGTATTGCTGCACTATTTGCACAGCTGTCCGCTACGGCAAGCGCAAGCTTTCGCCTAGCTGGACGAGACGTTGTATCCCTCTGGCGACGTCCATGTCTATCTAGTCGGTCCCGCTTACAGTAAATGTACAAGTCCACTTGATACAGCATCGAATTATACACGATGACGAGAAATGGGGTGAACAGACGGATGGGAATGCGTCTCATCGCACCATCAAAGACACCTTCGTACTATATTTTACACTAGGACCACCGTCCTAGGCGCGCCCGCCCACGCAGAAAAAATCTGCGTGTCTTGTTGAATAGGCTCTCCGCCAACGGTAACAATGCTATGCATACACCAAGGCGAAGCCCTGAGTGTTGCACCCTTGTTACCTCGCCTCGCACCGCTCGGTCGCAAAATTTACTGTTCGGATCCTCGAACAAATCCGCAGCATATGCGCTCCAGAGCACGAGTATCCGAAACTGTCACAAAGTTCCCCAGCGCGTCGACGAGCCACTACCGAGGTAGCGGGAATCCGAACTCCGACGCTCTCTCTCTCTCTCTCTCTCTCTCTCTCTCTCTCTCTCTCTCTCTGTCTACTACAGCTCTGCAAGGCACAATATGAAATCCCGTCTCTATCTCACTGGTGGGACACAATCCCGTTCTCAGATGGCATATACGGATGACTGGGCTGTGCTCCACAGAAAATGGTCATGCCGCGCCACGTCAAACCTTTGGCAATTCCCATACCGCCACTGGAAACCCTCTCCCGGGGTACTGCATGTACCAACACTGCATATACGACAGAGCTTCACTTCCAGAAGATTCACCTGGCAATCTATGTCGCTCCGAGATGTATCGCGGATGTTTTAGGAGCGCATGTCACGTATGGTCAGCAGACCGTCCGACCCGGACAACTGGCAGCGCCTCCCTGCCAGTTGAACATCGGCTAGCGACTGGTTGACTGCTTTACTAGTCAGAAGCTTCAGCGCCACAGCCTCTTCGAAGGCGAACGCAGGCGCTCGCGTCACGTACTCTGCGATGGGTTCCCGCCGGGTCTACCGTCTCCTCTCTCTCTCTCTTTTGCAGCAAGCGATCCTCATCACCTGCTTTTTGCGCCTACTGACATCTGGGCATGACATCTCTAGAACCTCTACTTATGCTCCTGCGGATAGCAAAAGAGGTGTCGACGGAGCTCCCCGTTCCAGGACTTAGCACTGCCCTCGAGATTGCTGTGAACATTGCTGAGCAAGCTAAGGTACGCTAGCTCAACTTCTACCACGAAGACACGAATTGAGAACATCTCATCCAGGAGGTCAAAGACACCCGCGATGGTTGCCGATCGCTCGCCGAACGAGCCACCTACTTTGCGTGGGGGGTCTATGACCAACTGAAGCACTGTGACGTCGATACACAGTCAATCTCGACGAAGGAACACGTGCAGTTATTGCTTTGGTCAGTCCATAGTGTCCTCGTGCAATGCTCTTCTTGATAACTGATGTTCCCGGCAATAAGCATGCTGTGCGAAATTGAGGGCCTCATGAAACGTCGTCGTAGAATGCGAGCTCTCACCTTCTTGCGACGGCACGCCGATGTCGCCCAGGACGTCCAAAAGCTCAACATTCAGCTCGAGGATGCCATCAAGCTGTTCACTGTAAGCCCCTCCAGCTGTATTCGTTTCGACGCGCTCCTGATCATAGGCTACCATGGCCCTAGATGCAAACCGGCATTGACATCGAGCAGAAGATGGACGTACTTTTGAGCACAAACGTCCGCCTCCTGCAGCATGTCGAAGACTCCGCGAGGGTCGGAGATGCACTTCTTTGGGAAGCTAGAGACATCCGCATCGGCGTCTGCGATTTGGCGCAGCGCCTCCACGGCAGCGCAACATATGAGGGCAACGTGAGATAGATCGTTGCATATCACGCGGCGTTCAACTGACGGGTAGACTGCCAGTTCCGGCTTTTCTCCCGCGAGAATCTTGACCTCGTAGAGCCCATATACAACACGGTGTCGCGGCATACTCTCCCGCGTCAAGCAGATGACCACGCTCTCAGTCGCAGAGTGGCCCAGCAACGGAAAGGACGCGTCGTGCGCTACCGTGCGACCGTGAAAGCGGCTGGTGAGTTATCTGGCACTCAGGTTGTCGTTCATGTGTACCCCGCCCGCGACAAGAGCGGGTTCATGGAGGCCGTCACATGTGGCCACCAAACATGGTAACATTCGTTCTTATACCCAAATCTTTACACTTCTGACCACCATCCAAAGCAATCCGTACATTTTGGCAATGCTGGGATATTCTCGTCCCGGAACCGTGGGCGAGGCACCATACATTGTGACAGAAGGTATGTTGGCGTATTGTGTACAGTGCGGCGAATACTAAAGTGGTTTTGCATACTAGATTATTCCCCGCTCACTGAATATCTCCGCTCTCTCCATGGGACGGACTTGTTCCGTGCGATCCTGCGGATGGTCTGTATGTTCTTTACACGCTCCTTGATGAAGCTAATAAACCAGCCTCAGACCATGGATATATGTGTACGTGATCCCCTACCCAGACATCGATGCATGAAATGCAAGTGTCCGACTAGTATATGGGTAGATGGCCGTCGATCATTTGGAAACGATAGAACTGCACCGTCAAGTCTTGTGCGAAGAGGATTATTGGGTATGGTAGACTTGCCGCATACTCATCTAGCCTACTGATATCACTGCCAACATATTGTGCTTAGGCATACGGTCCACAATATGAATTTACATTGGGCGACCTTGTGTTTGATCACCGTCATGGAGGCCGTATCAAGTGGGCGCGGGATCCGCTCAGGGAAGCGGCTGACAGTGATGTTAGTCCCAATATCAGCCTTGTGCTTCCTTCCACTCACCACTGTGCCCAGGCATTCGCCCCCGCTACGCTGGAAGACAGGGCGTGTTTGATGCACGGTCTGCAATCCCGCTGACAATTTTGATGTGCCATTTCTCACTTTCCCCCCAGATCTCCGTCTCATCGCAAGTGCAAGTGCAGACGATGTAGCGCGATATTGGTACTCTCATATCAGAGAAATTTCCATGGCAGGTGGTCCAATCCCTGGGCGTACAATACAACGAAATTGGCAAGCGGTCATGGATCGTCCCGACTATGCACTCGGAACATGGCTCGGACGCACCCACCACGGTGGCGATTGGACTATTTTGTCTGCTGGATGTTCACGACCCAAAATTACCACATCCTTTCAGGTTATGCCACGTGTTGCCCCCCACCAACTCTCACCCTCCGAGATGCCAGCCGAGCCGTCCCAGCAGACTCGGAAGCCTGACTATTGTGACGACCGCTACTTCGATGAAAAGATGGATCTGGCCAGACCGGTTGACGTCCCCGAACTGGACCGTGACGAGATGGGTGTTGATTTTGTGCTAGCTACGGATGGGACAAAGTGGAAGAGGTGAGAGCGACGTCTAACGCTGTAGCCGCCAGCGCTCGTATCTAATCATGCTTAATCAGGTATCGGTTCTCCTCCGTTCCGGTGGGCCAGACATTTCTCGCTCATCAACGGGCAAACATACGAGACGGTACTGGCCCAAGGATGGGACAGTCGGTGGCGGGTTCAATGGCAGTAGGATACAAGCATATCGGCATAGGTGCGTCTATCTTGTTTTTTAGTAGGTTTGCTGCTCATCGAGGATGCCCAGCTCTACAACATACTCATCTCACGGAGACGACCGTCGCGATGGCCGCACACGCCGCAGAGTCAACAATTCCCACACAGCCGCTCTGGTTCTTCGTGTTGCAGTTACTACATGACGGCGATCAGGATGCTGTCCAGCCCTCCAACGTACTACCGTGCGGCTTCTGGTCGTTGGAAGAGCACCCTGCATCCATCCCGGAGGACATTATCCTCGATCCCACACCACAGTTTGAGCGCATCGGCAAGCATACGGTAGCTCCCTTGTCCACTTGGAAACAGATGCTCGGAGATCTTTCCTTTACTATCCAAACGAAGTGCGCACCATCATCAATCGAAAATGTTTTCCTTGAGGGCTGTACTAACACTATGTTTTGATGGTAGAATGTACACTTATATTCTAGGGCTTGGCAACGACGAGATGTTGGTTCTCAGGGAACTTCAAAAGCACCATGACTTCACCAGCGATTCAGATTTCAGCGACGAGGAGAGTGCCCCTGTCGATGTCGATGTCACAGAACCACGCATTTCAGGTGTGCTCGGCCATCACCACTCATTCACATCCTCGAAGAGCTGACGCGCTTACGGTTGGTGGGGCTGCTCATACGAATAAGTAGGCTGCGATGATATGATCGAGGATTTTAAGTCTCAGTGATTTTCACAACCCATGTCCTTCTGTTCACGACACCTTGCACGCCCTCAAAGCTCCCTCGTGTATATGTTCGTTTTGTACAACTATACCCGCTTGTCTTTCAAGCACCGTGACTCGTTTGCATGCGCATGAGACCTCCGTGGTCGGTTTCTCATCGCGATGCCCTGGGCCTTCCTGGCCCATCCACTGACGGTGACAAGTTTCAACGCCGTCTCGGTCGCAGCGCACAATATTGTCGCCAGCGTGGAGTAGTAACTTGTCAGGCAACCAAACTCCAACAACGTACTTCTATCCAGCTGATCTTCGATACACACATGGTGGACTACATACAGTACACCAACACAGACGTATACATACACAATGACGAGAAATGGGGGGTAAACAGACGGATGCGCATGCGTCTCATCGCACCGTCACGGCATCTTCAAACCATATCTTACACCAGGACCAACGTCCTGTCCACATAGGCGACCCTAGGCCTCTTCGACGGCCGCACCTCCCTGCGTGACACCTCCACACCCACCAAGGCGAAGCACTCCCGGCTCAAAACATAACGCCGGTGCCTGCCCGAGCCTCCCACTCTCCCCGCTCTACCGCTCGCCCGCGGCGCCATCCGGGATCTCGAGCAGGTCCGCGGCGTACTTGTCGAGCATGATGATCCGGAACCCCTCGCACTCCCCAAACTCGCGCGACCACGCGCGGCTCAGGCCGCCCTCCCACGCGTACAGCTCGACGCGCCAGCCCTTCTTGAGCGCCGTGCGCACGCACCCGAGGAACCCGTCCTCGTTGAACTGCCCCACGTTCCCGTCGCCCGTCGCGAGCACGATCGTCCCGCCCGGCGGCACGACGTCGACGGCGGCGATCGCCTGGTGCAGCTTCAGCTGCAGTAGCTCGTCCACGCCCTGCTCGCGGTAGCGCACGCGCAGCGCGTTGGCGGTGTCTGAGTCCGTCGACGTAGCGTTGCCATTCGCCGTGCCACTGGCCGTGGCGGCGGCCCCGCCGCTGGCCGTGGCATGCGTCTGCTTGCGTGAGTGCGTTGTCGTACGTCCGCGGGCGCGCGAGGGCCCAGCATTAGTGTTGGCGTTGTTATTGCCTGCACTGTCGTTCCTACTGTGCTGGGGGCGCTGGCGGTCCGCGCCATCGCCGGTGTCGGGGACACGGGCATATATGCGGACCTCGTAGCCGAGCTCCTCGGCAGTGTGCATGGGTTGGTATAAGGGCGAGGATGTGACGAGCACGCGTCGTGTGACAGGGCGACCACGTTCCAGTACGAGCGCAAGCGCCGCGTGTGATAGGTGTGCTTGCTTGAACTTGCGCAGGACATGCTGCAGATGGCGCTTGACATACGTGACGAAGCCAATGAGAATATTAGAGCTAGGGACAAGACGATATGAGCAAGGGGTGCGAATAGGGAGATGAATGAAGGGGCGCACTGATCGATGAATACATGGATGAGGGTGTCTTGAGATTGAGGTACAGGTCCACGGGGATCGGCATAAGTTAAGGCGGAAGTGAAGTCTCGTGATAGGATAGCGGAAAGGACCTTGGCCTCTGAGGGGAACAATAGTCTGAGCTTATGGGCTAGTGTGCGTAACTGGATCGTGCGGGCATCAAAGGACGTGGTCATAACATGGAGCGTCGGGTTCGGTTTGAGAGTGGGGGTAGATTTGCTGTGATGTAGTCGGGGATTGTGGTCTGCGACCGCACGCTGTATCTGCTTCTCCTTCCTCAAAATCGCGGGGGTAGCGGGGGTGGTCTTGTATGCGGGAGAGGACGAGGAGGCATCCACGGAAGACGAGGACGTATCCCCATCTTCGTTATCAGCGCTCGCCTCGTCAACGACGCCATCAACCTCCCCCTCCATGGTCTCCATCTGTGCGTCGTCCGCCGGTGCATTGCGTCGGGGGTCCTGCGCCGAGCGGTTGCGCTTGCGTCGCCGCTTACGGCGAGTGGCAGCGGGCACCGCCAAGGGAGAGGCACTGTCGGACGTCGTCGAGCTGTTCCCGCGCAGCTCTCTCCTAGCAGCGAGCTTCTCGCGCTCGGCGGCAATATATGTCAACGTCTGGTCCAGATAGCCCAGGGAGGGACGATCCACGGTGTTCTCGTCTTCGATGGGGACCTCGAGCTCCGTGCCGTCGTCGTAGTCGGATGCAGTTGCATCGGATTCGCTGGGGTGGACGGAGCGGCCACGTACCGGACTTCCGGGGAGAGATGTGGTGTGATAGGATGTGAGGCGTCTGGCAGTCCATCCGGATGGGCCTTGGACGGGATCGGAGTCGTCGGACTGGGAGAGGGCGAAGGAGGAGGTGGGTGTGGAGGAGCGTACGTTGGGGCCGTTGGGTTGGACCCGCGCGTTGAAGTTGTTCAGCGCGCGGAAGACATGGGTGAATGCGCCGAGGTCGGGTGCATCTGCGAACGCGATATGTTTAGAGGATAATAGCGGCGGAACGTGGACGATCTCACCATCAGAGGTAGCCCCGCTGGCGACCGAGTACGTTGAGAACGGACTGAACGGAGAGGGCGAGATGGAGGATTCGGTTACAGATTGGGTCATAAATATGAGGATTATTGGCGGCGAGGAGGAGGAGGATGTGAGAGAGCGTGGGGGGCGTGCGGACGGTTAAGAAGGAGGAGCGGCCCATCTCCCCGAGTCAACTGCATAGCTTCCGGCGCTTACCAAGCCTCCTGCAAGATCCCATAGCACGTGTATCTCGTTCGCGCGCATTCGGCTCCCTGCCCTCCCAAGCCCTCTGTCCCACCCTCATCGCTCCAATGTGCATGGAGTATCACAATGCATGTACAGGGATGCATAGCCCGAGCCATAACGGAGCTCACAGCCCGTCAATAGCCCGTAGAAAGCCCCATAAAGCGAGCTTGGGAGATGGGCGGAACCAACCTGAGTAAATATGCGGTAAATATGCCCACCTGGGAACATGCGGAAAAATCCAGCAAACAAAGCATGCTTAAGCACAGTTCCTGTGGAGAAAATGGAGTCAACATGAGTAACCCTCTGAAGAGTCAAAGAGCGAACCCCGTTTAGGGACCTAAGTAGAGGCCACAGCCACAGCCGCTCGGGCATATCCGTCTTGTCTGCGCGCAACCAGATACATCTGTCATCAGCACACCAAGCTACGTCAGGCGTACCTTTGTGCGTGTCTGATATGGACGCACCTTGTATACACAATGATTCCACAATGTGTTACCGAGTGGTCCCGGTCCCGGGCCTGCCGCCAGGCATCGTACCTCGAAGATCGACAGGAGAATGTGAACGCACCAATTGTCTAGACATACCTTCCTACATAGCTTTAGTAAACTAGTATCACCAAGAAACAGGGAAGCACAACGAAAGGGTACACAACACAACACCAGTGTGAGAGCTGTAGCATCCCGACAAAGAAGTCTGAGCTGCGGCACCGACTAGCCACAACAAGCAGGAGCGCCCCAATTGTGTCTCATCCTCGGAGAGCACAACAACAAATAACGAGACACGGACAAGCACAGATGCATTCCAGCCAGCAGAGGGTCAGTGGTGCACAAGATGGAGGTGGTTGAAGAAGAAACGGCAAATGAAGAGACTGCGAACGCGGAACACATCTCAGCCACAGCGGGCGCCTACTTCATTACGGAGTTTCATCGCGATCACATGGCCGCGTTGCACTCCGCGACGCCATTGTCCTCGCGTCTCCCGCGCAAATGGGCAGGATCGACTCGGGAAACGAGGGTGGACATGTACAGCAGGGGATGTATTAGCACGAACGGAGCAAAAACGACAGTATAGATACGAACGAATGCAGCCGTCTAAATATGGTACCGACGCTAGTATGTGGGGAGAACGAGAGGAAGTCCGGATCCATGCCAATCTATGGTATGTACTCTATGCAAGCCATGTTAAAAATGCAAAGCAGGGATGGGGGATGAGGGGAACAGTGGGGGATGTGAGACCGAGACTGTCCATGTGATCGCCCTAGGGCACCGCGAGTATAAATGCGGATGATTTTAGTCCATGACTGCAAAGCAGGCCGGGTCGTGTCGGTCATCAATAACTGGAAAGCAAAGATGCAGGCTGCCGGCAAGGGCGCTGAGTGGGGCGGTGAGGAGCTTAGATGGTCGCGAGCGCCGCCTGGATGCGCCCGAGGCCGCGCGACATCCACTCGTCCGGCGCGACGCGCTCGTCGTTGCCGAAGATCTGGTCGTTGAATTGCGAGAACGCCCAGCTCTCGACGTGCGGCGCCGGCAGCGCCGTGATTGCGCGCAGCTCGTTGCCTGCATTCCCATCGCGTGGTCAGCACGAGCACATACATTCAAGCGAACTGGCGATGACTCACGGATGATGTTGTGCGTGAAGTGGTCCAGGTTCTGTGTGACGGGAGGGGAAATGAGCACGGTACCAGAGAGCGGGCGCAGGAAGACTGGATGCGTACCAGATCGTTCTTGTCGTACCCTAGATGACGCAAGAACGGCCGTCAATGTCCGTCTCATAAGTTAGTGGGACGTAAGGGATGACACTTACCAAACGGATCTGCAGGGGCGGGACAGGCGCGAACACGAAGGCAATTGAGCACTCAATCAAATGAAAGGCAAGATTGACGGCAGGTCGAAGCTTACTCTCAATCTCCTCGCCAGCGACCAGGAACCCAAAGAAGATGAAACTCTATCAGAGTGCGCAGCGTGGTAAGTGGACGGTTCCGCGCGGAAGCGAGAAGGCTGCACGACGTACTGCAAGAGTCGTCCCGGGAATGGTGAGCCACTTGAGCGTCGTCCAGATCTGGAAGGGCTAGAGAGACAGCAAATCATGAGCGAAGGCGTCATACGAATGTCAAAGTGCGACGTTACCAGAAGCAAGCAGTACAGAACAGTGACGCTCCATAGATGGACCCGGTACCTAGAATATACGATGTTTAGCCACCCGAAACGGTTCTAAACCAATACAACTCACGAAAAGGGAATGGGCGTCGTCAAAATACGCTCCAGACCAGTCAGCGCATCCACAAGCTGGTTCAACGTGTTGAGCAGATTCGCTGACAGGAGCGTTAGCTTCGTAGTCGGTGATTGGAAGACTCGCCAGGCTCACTAGCTGTCGGGGGAGGAACGCAGTTGCGTTCTTGGAGCGCCGCGATGTACGAGCTCTGAGAACTGTCAGTGACGACAGCAAACGAAACAGTACTTCAGGATACGCACGAGGTAGAGCGAGATCTCGAGCGGAAGATTGTGCGTGACGGTCTTGCTCCGAAGCTTCGCACGGATCCGAGCCGCCTTCTTACCCTGTTCCACCTGCATCAGCGCCTCTGCATACCCAAATGCCTGCACCGGACTTACCTTCACGTCCTTGCCCCGCTTAGTCAAGGCATGTACCAGAAGCGAGAACGGGAACAGGTCGAAAAGGTGGTACTTCGGCGGGTTACGCGCAGGCAGCAGGAAGTTCTCGTCCTGCACGCCCGAGACGCCCGAGTACGTCGAGCCCTTGTCTCCCTGCGACGGCTTCTCCCTCTCGTACGACCGTCCGGCAGCGCCGCGGCCGTTCATCGACGTCCGAGGGGGAAGGTCGACCTTGACATGGCTGACCTTCCGCGGGCTCACGGCGGTCGCGGGGAAGGGCAGCTGGTTCATCGACGCGCTAGGCCCGTTGGGTGCGGTAGGAGACGCAGGCATTTCGAGGGACGCGACTTCTTCGCGCAGGGAGGTGAGCTCCGCGGCAACGCTGTCCCCGCGGTTCCGCAGGGGCGAGTGCGTGGACATGCCGTCCGCGGAGGTGACGTCGACGAGGGACGGCAGACCGGCGGGGAGCGCGTACGAGGGCAGGAACTTGACGAGATGGAACAGGTCGACGTAGTACACGCCCTCCTCGCCGCGCAGGTAGTGCTTGACCGCAACACCAAAGGCCTCAATCAGGTTGATGACCGTCTTCTTCTCGATCAGCACCCGTGCCTTGCGCTGCTCGAGCGTAGACGGGTCATTGCTTGCGGACGGCATGGTCTCTGTTCACACACACGCAGGTACCATGTTTGGCATATATGACAGACGGAGGTATGGTACGAATGACGTACCCGGGACGTGGAACCAAATGGTACGCGCCAGTGTACGACTGCCCATGATGATCTGCGACCAGAGACGCCGACCCTCATTGTACCGCTCGAAACTTGCTGTCGTCCGGTATGAAATGACGAAACCGAGGACGGTACCGATGCTATAATAGAGACAGGTAAGTAGCCAACCAGACTCCGCCAAGTTCGCACCCGCGCCGATCGAGGGTGACTCGGAGATACAACCGGTCATGTGCAGCGGGACAGCGGTTGCAACAAGCGCGAACAGGGGACTTACACAGTGAGCAATGTCGGCTGAATGGTCAGGTTATGGACACTGTGGTTGATCACCGAGACCGCGGTCGCCCAGGCAGAAAAGAAGAGCAAAAGCGGCCAGCATCGAATGACTGCGGTTGCGAGGATTGCGCTGAGCAGGCGATGCAAGGTGCCGACGCGACGTGCCGGCGTGAAGGGATCGACAGAGTACATGAAAGTGGTCTCCATTTTGGCCGCTGCTAGAACGAGCAAGAAAAAAGAAGAAAGAGGTTAGAGAGAAAGGAGCATGCGGGGTGCGTAAGCCGGCGAACAAGGGGGTATCTGCAGCGAGAGCCAAGGCGAAGACCGGGGCTAGGTGTGCGGTCCTCGCTTGTGTGCCGCTTGATAGACCGGTGTTCGCGGCGATACTGATGAAATAAACAAACGCATCCTGATTGTTCTTACCTCCGTTATTTGCAACCATTCTGCCGTTGAAACGCGCGCTGAGGCAGCGGATAAGATGATTTACGGGTGCCTCAGCTTGCCGAGGTGGCAACGAAGGCACAGACGCTCGCGGGATCTTTCTGCGCATTGCCTGGCGCTTGCTGGCGGGATTCGGCGGCCCGCGTCGGGGGACGCGGTAAGTCACGATGCGTGACGGTGTAAAATGGAGTCACGCGTCGCGTTTATCCTGATCAGCTCAATTGCTGGAGTCACTGGAAGGCTACCGGTGTGATATTAATGTGGATTCGGACTCATCTTCCTCGCTCTCTTCGCTCGTGTACTTTTACTCCTCTTGCCCGCACCCCTGCTCGCTGGAAACACACTAGGCATCTGGACATGGCCAACATCCAGGTCAACAAGGACGCCCATCCCTTTGACAAAACCCGTCTGGAGGCGCTGCTTAACCGCAGATTCTTCTACGCCCCGGCGTTCGAGATCTATGGCGGTGAGTTCTCATCACAATCTATCTGCGCGACTCCATATGTTCCCAAGCTTCATATCGCTCCGAAGAATAAGGCGGTGAGCACCAGGGGCGGGTGCGCCAGTGAATCAGACCGCGGTCGATGCAGTTGCATTACCCCATCTGCGTTCATTGGTTAGCAAGAGTGCAATACCCCAAATCCAGATCACAAGGGCGCGTTCAAGAATCAACTGGGTTGACCGTACCTTTGTATGTCATCTTCGGAACACGGCAGTAATGGCGGTCGCTACTGCTGTGAACCTGTTGCGGCTCGCCGTGAGATGTTGACGTGAACCGTGGTCGGTCGTGTCTCCAGTATATGCTGTCCCTTCAATCAGGGACGGGTTTTCCAAACCATCATTCTTGTCTTCCAAAGGATATTTGCGTCCACCATCTTCTAGGTCCATGATTGCGCATTGATGTGGAAACATGGCGCTATTCCGCAAGGGCCTCAGTAGCCTCGGCAGCATAGAGGTCCGGCCCTCTGGACCGCTAGATCCCGCAGAAAGAGGCCTACCTCTGTCCGCGCCAACGTCGGGGCACAGCGGACAGGCCCCAATGCACACCACTCTGGAGCCGCTATTTGCCTCATCGAAGTGGCGGCGGGGGAAACGTGAAAGTGTAAGAGGTCTGGCGTAGCGGAGCCTCAAAACCTTGTCTCCCAATTCCTCTGTATCCATAGATGGGCGCGTCGCCTTACGCGCCACCATTTTCGGTTCCGTCGCCCTTTTCCCCTGAGCAGTACGAAGCGCGACTGGAACGACAATTTCGGCAACGGTGATGTGAACGCACATGCACCTGCCCATCTCTGAGATCGGCCATGACTGCGCTCGCAAGACCGTGTAACTTGGATGCCTTCAAAAGTCAACTTGTGGAAGTCGGGTAGACGAAGCCGTTTCCACTCCGACCCATCCAGTCTGGAGCGACGTAATCACTCTCGGACCGCTAGGCGGTCACGTAAAAGCTGTCTATCGGGGACCTTGTAGAACGGAGGTGCAGCGAGGTTTCGCCGTGGGGTTGGGCCTCATTTCTGCGATGACCTCAGTCTCTGTAGATCGCTAGGAAGGGGCACACGCGCGAAGGTTTACAGTTGCCCGTATCCGGCGCAAAGTGACTTCTCTTACGCTCCGTTGCTGCGCCGTCCTTCGGTCCGCACTTCGTGGCACTGCACGTTTCCCCTACATCCTTATTTGTGCTGCGCGTCCGAAGCTTCTATTTGCGACTTCTACCAGACGCGTCGTGTGCTCACAAATTGTTCCTTAGGTGTCGCGGGTTTGTACGACTACGGTCCGCCGGGCTCTTCGCTCCAGAGCAACATCATCGCTGAATGGCGGAAGCACTTTATCGTGGAGGAGCACATGCTCGAGGTAGACACTACCGTCATGACTCCCGCGCCTGTCTTCGAGACTTCCGGCCACGTCGCCCGCTTCGCAGATTGGATGGTCAAGGATTTGAAGACCGGCGAAGTCTTGCGGGCCGATCACCTGGTCAAGAACGTACTGGAAGCGCGCTTGGCCGGTGACAAGGAAGCTCGCGGCCAGGCAGCGGCACCCCCGAAGGAAGACGACAAGAAGAAGAAAAAGAAGGACAAGGCGAAGGCCACAGCTGTGAAACTGGCCGATGAGGTCGTTACGGAGTATGAGACGATTCTCGCACAGGTGGGTCCAGAGCCAGGAGGCGTGTCCCGCTCCGACTGCTTCTAGTCTCTGATCTCCGAGCAATATTTCTAGTTGGATAACTATTCGGGTCCCGAGCTTGGCGAGCTCTGCAAGAAGTACACCATCCGGAACCCCGACTCGGATAACGAGGTCTCCGAGCCGCAGCAATTCAACCTCATGTTCGCCAGCAGCATCGGGCCCACCGGGCAACACCCTGGCTTCCTACGCCCGGAGACGGCTCAGGGCCACTTCCTGAACTTCTCCCGTCTGCTAGAGTTCAACAACGGCCGCATTCCGTTTGCCTCCGCGCAGATTGGCCGCTCGTTCCGGAATGAAATCTCCCCTCGGGCTGGGCTGCTCCGTGTCCGTGAGTTTACCATGGCCGAGATCGAGCACTTCGTGGACCCGGAGGACAAGCGCCACGAACGCTTCTCCGAAGTGCGCGACGTCGAACTTGACCTTCTGGACCGCCACACCCAGGTTGCGGGGAGCGCCAAGGTCACCCGGATGACGATTGGGGAGGCGGTCGACAAGGGCATCGTGGCGAACGAGACCCTGGGCTATTTCGTTGCTCGCATCCACCAGTTCCTCATCAAGATTGGCATTAACCCCACGCGCCTCCGCTTCCGCCAGCACATGGCGAACGAGATGGCGCATTACGCGACGGACTGCTGGGACGCCGAGATCCAGAACTCGTACGGGTGGACGGAGTGCGTGGGCTGCGCCGACCGCGCGGCGTACGATCTTACCGTGCACTCCGCCAAGACCGGGCACCCACTCGTCGTCCGCCAGGCGCTGAAGGAACCCATCGTTACGGAGAAGCTCACCGCGGAGTTCAACAAGAAGACGTTCGGGAAGACGTTTGGCAAGGACTCGGCCGCCATCCAGACGATCATTGGTGTCATGGACGAGGCGCTGTTGGCTAAGCTCCAGGGTGAGCTCGCGCAGGGGTGAGGAACTGCTACGCGGGGTTGACAGCCATTTTGCCCGCTTCGCGCTCACACGACACGTCCGTTCCGCAGGGCGACTACCGTTACTTCCTCCGACGGCAGGGAATTCAAGCTGACCCCTGACCTTCTGACCATCGAGAAGAAGACGTTCAAGCAGTCGAGTGAGTCGCGAGCGCACGCTTGCCGCGGGATGCAATGTCATCTGACTGCCTCCCCATTCAGTCCGCGAGTTTACACCGAACGTCATTGAGCCCTCCTTTGGTCTCGGCCGCATCCTCTACGCCCTCCTTGAACACAGCTTCTGGAGCCGAGAACAGGACGGCCAGCGCGGGGTGCGTGCATACCAACGCATGAGCTCATGGCACCCGATGTACTGACCCCGCCCCGCGCGCGCCCATTTAATTTTGCGCCGTCTAGGTCCTGTCTCTGCCAACAGTAGTCGCCCCCACGAAGGTGCTCATTGTACCCCTGAGCGCAAAGCCAGAGTTCGAGCCGCTCGTGCGAGACGTCTGTGAGTTCCCGTTTCAGCAGCGGTCACCTGTCCTGCCACGCCCTTGCGCTGACGCCCTGCGCCCCTGCGTTCCCAGCGGCGAAGCTGCGCAAGGCCGGTATCTTTTCGCGCGTGGACGACTCAAATACGTCCATCGGGAAGCGCTACGCGCGCAACGACGAGCTGGGCACGCCCTATGGCATCACGCTCGACTTTGCTTGTACGTCCCATCCCTGCATTCGGCCTCCAAATCTGTTGCGCCGCAGAGCTGACGCCCCCGCTATCGAACCACTTCAGCCGTCCAAAACGGCACGATGACGCTCCGGTGAGTGCATGTTCACATCATGCCAGTCCAGAGCAGCCACATTTGACGGCGGCGCCCTGTGTGGCCGCTGTGGTTGTGGTGTGCTTTCCCTCGCTCTCATTGGCTGGGCGCTGATTGGCTCGTCCGCATTAGGGAGCGCGACACAACCGGGCAGCTCATTGGCCAGGTCGAGGAGGTTATCGCGACCGTCATCGAGCTCGTGAACGGCACTATCGACTGGGCGGAGGCGTGCAACAGGCTACCGGCCTACGACGGAGTCCAGGCCGTGGAGTGATGGACACATACCGCCGCAAGCGCGAGTTGCGCGTGGCTGCACTGTGCACGCGCGCGCAGCTCGTCTGGTATCGTCTGCGGCCTGGTATGTCGCCACACCCCGAACAAAGTGCTATCATACCAAGACGGGCTGGATACAATTGCCGCGGAGGTAGAGTGTAGACGTATGTCCGACCTGACGTATAAGCAGAGAAGTCGATCGAAACAAGTGTATATGTGCGATATGTGCGTCCCATCACCGCAGTGACAAGGCCCAACCGTATCGGAGCGCACAGATGCCAGCTGGGGGGATCACATCTCGCGCACCGCGGAGGTGCCAGAAGTTGGACAGAAGGGACGTCGAGTGACCACGCCCGCAGCGGCGGGATGAGGCCACGCTGCGCGGCCGTGCAGTCACCAGGGCCCCCGCGAGATCGACGAACGCGCCCCAGTGACAACTTGCTGAAGTTCTCCCAAGCGCTGTGGCTCTAATCCCAAGTGCACCCGATATGGCGACGGCCACTTGCACTCGCATCTGTCCAATAAGCACGCTTCGTCAGCAGCCTCAGCGTGCCCCCACACCGGCGTACGCCGCGGGGCGTATAACGCTAGCTTACCGGAAAGGCACCGCGGGCCCGGGCGGAGGGGTCCCGCGCGCCATCAGCGCGTCGAGCGTGTAGCAACGCCCCCACGCCCGCCCGGCGACCGTACGCGAGGGTGCCCTGTTTTCAGGAGAGCCTACGGCCATGTGCGCATTCGTGCCATTCGCCGGCCACAGATGCACCACGGGCTGATTCCTGCGAAGTGCGACCCGCGAATGCACTGCGAACGCGCAGGCTATCTTAATTCCTGGGCGTCGAAGGCGCGAAGGCCAAGCTCCGCGATAGTACAGAGTATGTATGTATCGAGCGTGGGCACGCCCCGCGCTCGGCCACAGCAGGATCCGGCGGCGGCGTCGCGTCCGAGCTTCGTCGCGGGCGTGCCGGCGGCGGCAGCGGGTGCGGTCTGCGCTTCCAACTTCGTGCTGCGTCGTCGCCGCCATCGCTGCGCTGCTATCGCGAGAGCGCGCGCACGACCCGGGGAGGGATAGCGGCGAAGCGTCGCGCGGGCAGCTAATAAGCTCGCGGCAGCGGTGGCCACGGGCGCGTGCTGCGCGGGGCGTCAGGCTTCCGCCACTGACGAAGGCGAGAACACCGGGGGTGCTGCTGCTCGCGAGCTACGCTGTCACTCGTCGAGATGCTGCCGTATGCGCGCGACGACGTGGGCCGTCAGCAGACCCGCGCGTGAGGTAAGAGCAAAGAACGCCGGCGGCGCGTGAGATGCCGCTGCCGCTGCTGCTGACCTTGCGCCATTGCAGAGTACTAGTATCGCCCCAGCACTGTATCATTAACCCCCACGCGCGCGACGCGAGCACATTAGTGGGCCAGACCTGCGTTCGCGCGTGCGCGTGGGGGCGCGCTGTGTGTACATAGGCCGGCATATTGCCCCAGGGAGGCAAGGGCAGCGGCTCGGGAAGTAGCGGGACCGGCCGGCCAACCTAATCAGCGTGGGCACGCGAAGCCATCAGGGCACAAGTGGTCGCAGGCACGCCTTAGCCGAGGAGGATCGGGGGGAACGGGGGTGGGTGATGCGGATGACGCACGCGCACGAAAGGTGCAGCCGTGTCCGATGCGGGAGCATTGACAGATCTATCTCATTTCAACGCGAGACGCGAGACGACGCGGTCTGGACGCGCTGCTGATGTGAGCGCGAGAAGTGACTCGAACAGAGAACAGAACGGCGGAAGGACTGTGCAGGGAGGAATTTTCGAGGGCTGGCCGGGCGCGTGGCGGGCGACGCGCGAGAAGGGAAGGCGCACGCGTAAAACTGACGTTCAATAACCTCTGTGCGCGCGCTGGAAACGGCCTGGGGAGGCTGGGGCGCACCCACGCCCACGCCCGGGCTTCCGCGCGGGATCGCTCGCGCGCCAGAGCCCCGCGCGCGGGCAAGAAGAACGTTTGGTGGCGCGAGATTGGCTGCTCCCGGGGAAGGGGGGGGCCGCTGTGACAGCGGTGGCGGGCGTCGAAACGGCAAGGAACGAGCCTTCGCGGAGTGGCACGCCTGCGTGCGCGGGCAGCGGTCTGGCCGGGGGTAGAACGCACCCCAAGGGCAGAGAAGGCCCGGTGTCTGAACGCGGTGTGGGACGATCGCTGCTGGAGTAGGACGCAGAGGCAGGAAACGGAGGCGGGCTGCCCTGTGCGGGGGCGGGCGAGATTGGACGCCGGAGGAGATTGGGGAAGCGCAGGGGGGTTCGGGCAGAGATTGGAGGGGCGCAGGATCGGTGACGGTGGTGGATTCCCATGAACGTGGACTGGATGCGAGGGCGGACGAGGAAGGGAGAGACATTGCATTGAGCGGCGGAGCGCCGGGGGGTCTTATGATCGTGTCGAATGAGAATGCGGAGGTGCTCGCATGTCGTACCCCGGGTTACGAATCTAGAGGTCTTGAATGGGTATAGTCGGCCACGATGCGGGGATGGAATGCTTCAAGGCAGGAAGCTGTCTGATTAACAGACCGGTCAGGTGAAGGCGACCCCATTGCGTGCTGCAACATCGGCGCATCGAGGCTTGCGCTTGCAGGGCCGTGTGGTACAACCATGCATAGCATCTACACCCGCGGGCGCTCGCAGCTGCCGCAAGGCAGGGAGAGGCTAGACTGGGCAGTGAGTATGTGGATTCGGGAGAGCAGTCTGGAGGGTCATCGGAGACGGTCAGATGAGGGCCTGCGCGCAAACGTGTAGGTGAGGTCGGATGCAGAGGACTGGGCAAGGGCCGCAGAGACTGGAGACGGTTTGACGGAAAGCTCGGGCGATGGCAGTTTGGCGATCAAAGTCGCACCAGAGCTTGTGCAGCGTGGCGTGGTTGGCCAATGGGACGGGCGCAACACCCACCGTCTTATCTGCGAGCTTTCGGCGGTGGGCGAACCGGGGATATGTTGTCGGTCTATGCCCAATCAGGGAGGTGCACGCGAACTCCGCTTATACTCCGATCCCAGTCCGCCACGCGAAAATAGTTTTTGGGCGTTTGTTGGCCTCCGCGCGGTGCGGGAGAGGCCAGTACGCGAGATTGGCGATGGGGAAGCGCGATGTGCCAATTGCAGAGGTTCGTGAGATGTGAGCCGAAATAAGTCATCGCTCTCTCGCGAGTCTGGGCCCACCGGCCTATAAAGTACCTTGCCATCGCCCTGTCCCTCCCTCGATCCAACCAGACGCGTCGCTGCCACTCGGACACCCATCCCATCACCCTCGCCAGCTCAACGCCATCCCGCGCGTCCTGCTCTCGTCCGCCCACCACTCCTGCACGCTCGCCTACCTCCCTGGTCATCCCTCTCGGCTCCTCTAACCGCTCACACCACGCTGCAATGCCGTCCCAAGCGCAAAAGTCCGACTCCTCGGCATCCTCGACCAACTCTATCCCCCCATCCCAGCTCATCGCCCTCCCCTCACTATCATGCTCGCTCTCGTCGCTTCCCCAAGCAAAGAGCATCGACGGTCTCTCCCTACACCATTCCATGCTTGCCACGCGGAATGCTGAGAGCCAAGCAAAGGTAGCTTCCTTCCCTTCGCTCTCTCTCCAACACGTAGTAAACATGTATCGTCCCAGTTGCAAAAAGCTCTCTCCAAATCTTCTGGCAACGGCGCAATGGTGTCGATGTACCCTGGTGCTCCAGTGCGTACCCTCTGAGTTCCGTCTGAGCGTGATAAGAAGTCTAACCGTGTCCTTCGACCCGCAGTCAACACCACAACAGTACTCGCCGTCCTCAGCGTCACCACCACTCATGATGCGGAAACCCGTGAGTATCCCGTCTGCCACGCGTGTCCGTGCTTGAGCTCAACCGTGCCCGTCTCAGGCAAAATCAAAATTGCAAGTCTAAGCGACACCCCCACCATAGACTTCTTCTCCTCTCCTTCTCGGGACTTTGCAGTACCTACCACTGCTCGCTATCATGCCTACGGCATAAAAGCTATCCGCACGCACTCTGTCTCCTCGCTTTGCATCACTAGACGTTCCACTCTCTCCTACTCTTATTCCCTCATGGCATCGATATCCTCGTCACTCTCTCTGCACATCTCTCTGTCCCCATGCATAGTCTACCCTCCGCACATACATTTTTCGCATCTCTCCGGGCCATTTGGTTTCTCTAATCACTAGCATCCTGTGTCACTACTACTCGCTCTCTTGTTACGGTCCTGGGGTGCGCGCGGCTGGTTGTTGTCGAATACATACGTTGATCGGTGCATACTGTCACCATTTCTCCTCGAGCTCAGCGTGCCCGTGCATGACGCGAGACCCCCGGTGCATTCCCGGGCTCAGCTGCGAGCATGCGCGCGTCCTGGTGACGCGCAGCAATGCACTGAGCAGGGATGCCTCCGCGGCGGCGATCGAGCGAGCTTACCTCCGCCGGGGGTGGGCACGTGTGGTGGCGACGGTCACTAGCGCGACAGGCCAAACACACCGGTTGCCGGGCAGTCTCAGGTATGTTCTGTACACCCACCACGACCCTGCGCTAGTCTCTGCTCACTTTCATCACCGCCCTCAGCTCCGTCGCGCGTGCCCGAGCGTCGCTGGCCTGATCAGCGCGCCGGGACCGGTCTCCAACGCTATCGTCCTGCGAACCGAGCCGTCCATATGCAGCAGCATATCGCGCCGCCAGGCCCCTGCATATCCGCGGTCCACGCCCACCATCTGCATCTCTGCGCGCGCACCCCGAATCTCACGGCAGACGCCCGCGTACGCCCCGCCCCTTGTTGTCTAAAGTCTAGACTGATCGTGCGCAATTGAATATCGCGCGCGTGCACAATAGCGCGACGCGCGCCCGGGGCACCCTCGATCGCCCATCTGCCCGCCGTGTGAGCATTCGCGACACATAATGGCAGCGGCCGCTGCAATTGGCCTCCGACACCGTGCCACCACGCACCGCCGCCGCCAGTGGCCAGGCGCGCTGCCTAAATGGCCATGCTTATCGCGACGCCCTCGCCGGGGGCCCGGAGCCTCGCTGATGCGGCAGCGGAGGGAAGCCTCGAAGACGCGGGGCAGGCGCCGTCGCGTCCTCGCTCGCGCGAGAGCCTCCTCGGACGCGGGCCATCTCGCCTTTTCGGGCGGGGTTGCTGCACACACTTGGGCCTTCGCCCGTACCCTTGCGCGCCCTTCGCGCTCGGGAACCCGCGACGGTGGACGTGTGTCGACGTCTCTTCCCAGCCTTGCATTGTCCCAGGGCACATACACGCCGCCTGCGTTATCGGGCTCGCTTGCGTCGTAATGACGTCGCGCGGGTTCGCGCTGCAGGCATACAGGGTTCCAGGTCGCCTCGGAGCCTTTGCGTCAGCCAGGAAGCTTAACGCTATATGCAACGCCTGTGAACGGCTGCTGCGCACGCACGCCCTAGCAGCAACCCCGCGGAAGTAAGCGTCGCTATTTCCGCCTCTCCTCCGCACCACACATACAGGTCTTTTTCCTCCCTCGCGGCATTCACGTGGGCATCGACTTACCGACACTGGCAGTGACATGACGCACGCAGCACTGCAAGACCAAACCGCTCGCGTCCAATGGCTCCGCGTCTTCGAGGCCTAGTGCGCGTCGCTCGTCCGTCGGGCTCGGGACAGCGGCGCGCAATCCTATCTCGCCCCTATCGCTGCACCCTCGTCCATCAAAACATACGTGCGTCACCGTGCAGGTCGCTGCAGCCCCGGTCGCGCGTCTCCCGCCGTTTTTACGTGAAAACGCACGCGCTCGTGCGGTTTCTTTCCCAGTGCCCATGATCGCAAGATGTGACTGGACAAACGACCAACGCCATGCACGGTCAATCTTGCGAGTGCCTGCGGCGCTCGCGCGGTATCGATATTCCCGGCCGGACGCGAGCCCTCTGCGCTCGCGTTGGGTTGCCCACCATGTCCTCAATCTGCAAGCAATCTGCGCAAAGCCCGCGACGTGCTCGGCGTGCCTGCGTCGTGCGATCTGCAATATGATGGCCCGCCCCGATGCAATCGCTCCCCGTGCGTCCCCACAGGCGAGGCCCGATGCACCCTTGTGGGGCTCGCGTGCGCCATCGCGCGGACGATCGTCCATATAAGGCGGGGGGCTCCGGATGCCCTCCCCGGTCCCGATGCTTCTCTCGCGCGTTATGGCGGGGGTGGCCCGCGCGCAGGGAGCCTACGGCGCACCGTGTTCGTATTCGTGTTCTGTCTCTGGGCTCGTGTTCTGCGGCGATCCTTCGGTGGCGGTCGTACGCACGGCGGGCGCCCGCGGGGACGCATTCTCCGACATTGCGGCCACAGCAGAAGATGGTGCGGTGATCCCGGATGCGAACACGCCCTGCAATTAGCTATAGTGAGATGCGTCGCGCGTCCGTCCGGCGTCGTTGCTCTGGATGCTGATCTCAATTTTCTGGATAGATGCTGCTGGGCTCGGGCGACGGCGCGGTGGACCCGCGCGGTGCTGCTTCTGCGGGCGCGACGTGGTTCTTCGCTGGCGCGCGTGATTACGGGGACAGTCGCAATGCGCACGCCCCTGGTCGACATTGGGCAGCGGGGAGGACGCGGCGAGAAACGTGCGATGCGCAGGGCGCGACTCGTTCGAACTTCGTCGTACCGTGCGCACTGGCTGATTCACTATGGTTTGTGGGCCTCTCGCAGCAAATCTTGCACGACAGCCTCCGCTGCACCGGGTCTGCGACTGTGAGTGTCCACCACTCGGCCAGGGTCCACCAACGACATTGACCACACACCGCACCCAGCCCCGGCCACGCCCTACGGAACCCGATCCTGACCTCCGAACGGTCCCAATCAAATCCCCACCGTGGGCGAGATAAGGCAGCGCAGACACAGCCTACAAACAGGCAATCTGGCATTCCGGCGCTGCGAGCGAGTCGGGACTCGTTCTGCGGCCTCTGCTTAGCTATCGCCCCCCTGACGGCGACACCCACGCACGCGAATTCCGCTCAGGCTCGGGCGAACCCCCTCTGTCAACGCTCGTCGGGCGGCGTCGTGCGGCGTGTCGAACAGAATTCTGACGCCCTGCGCTGCCCTCCCCGAGGATCAGGACTCCAGCCACGACCACGACCGCGGCAGCTATTGCTGGGCCCGGCCATCCACGGCCACGGCGTCCTGTCGCGGTGATTTTTAATTGCCAAAATCCCCGACAGGCGACAGGCAGCGCCAGTGGGAAAACTGGCATGCAAGCATGCACGCTCGCCCGCTCCCCCGGGCGCGACGTTCTCGGTGCGTCTGCAGAACTCTATCTCGCGAAGCCACGGCTATTTTATGGGCGACCGAGTATGGGCTGCAGCTGCAGCACGCTCGGGCGCAGTTGTAGCCTCGAGTCTGCAGTGGGCGTAGGGCACAGGAATCGTGGCCCGTGGGCCCGATGGAAGCTCAGGACGCGTCGACGGTCGACGAGTGGCCAGAGTCGCGCACTACTCACTTCGCCCTGCGCCCTCGCCTTCGCGCTCGGAAGCTACCTGGAACGGGGAGAACTGTGGCTGGCGGCCAAGCTCCTCCCGCCCGGGTGGGTCTTCTGTGGCACACGCAGGCGCGTCGCGGCAGCCGTGGTGCGCATATTGAAAGGCACCGACAGGGCCCGACGCGCCGTGCCCCACGACCCGTACTGCTCCCCGACGCAGGCGATCCGCCCTGCCATATATACCGGCAGCCGGGCGCAGTGGCGCGTGACGCGTGCCGTCTGTGCTGTACCTCTGGCACGCTACCGGGACGCGGCGCGTGGGACGCGTCCCGCGACGCGCGAGTTGTTGTACTTGGTGCTAACCACATCCGGTGGGACGTCCGCCGCTTTGTGCGCGACCGGTACTTGGGCAGACGGCAGAACTCTCTCGGGCATTGTATGGGGTGTCGGCAGCCAGGTGCAGGGTTAGACATCGGTATGCGTTTCGCAGCGTACGGCCGGAGGGGCTATGGCTATTGGGCTGGTGTAGTACGGCTAGACACGTTCCGTTTGCGGAGTGCTGGCGTGAGGGTGGAGTAAGGTTGGCGTTGGACGTGAGTCTCCTGCGACACGCACGTTTCGAACTCCCCGTCGGTTGCGACAATGTCGGTCCAGAGTGGGGCTTATGCAAAAACACGGATGGCTATCGGCGGAGGCGCGTTCCGCATTACCAGCGAGGTAAGGCTGCAGACGCGTCCGCATCGTCCGTTCCGAACAGCTCACCCACGTCCTGCCTCAGTTCACCAAACAGCACGCGGCGGGCTCTGCGGTGTCGTCGCTTATACTGGGGTGCGATGGGCTTTCCGCACTAGAGTGGGAGGCCACGATCACACCGCGCCCGACATTGTTCCGAGTCCTGGTGTGTTCGCGCACGGGCATCGCAATGTCAGGCCCGGTGTCGCCCCCAGCCTTCTCGGGATTTACACGCTCAGCCTCGGTACAGCCTATAGGAGCGCGAGCACACAACACTATGGTATATATTCCCACCGGCGGCGTACATCCAAGAAACATCCGTGAGAGATTCGCCAATACATTAGCAGCAATGCTGATCCTGAGTTCTGAGGGGGGCGGAGTGCAAAACACCGAACGGGGAGGTGTCGTGCAACATAGGGGCCGCGGCGCGACTACTGTTTCTTGCCAGACGCGGCCTTCACCGCGACCCTGTCGGCGACGCGGAGCATCCCAGTGATGTCCTTCGTGAGCTGCCAGATGATAAAGCTCGGCACGACGAGCCAAAGTCTGGTAGTGACGGCACAATGTCGAGAGCACGCCCGTCAGCGAACGCGTCGGCAGAATACGACCGGGAACACGGGCCACGCACCCGTTGGGGATGATCCAGTAGACGATCAGCGTCTTCAGGTCGTTGTGGCCGACCGCACAGCCGCCGCAGTAGAATTCCTGCAGCCAGTAGAGGACGGTCTTCGAGAGCGTCATGACGGCACTCGCGAAGCCGACTAGCGGGGCGGCCGGCGAGCCGGATACATGCGCGAGGTAGAGGTAGGCGATGTTCATAAAGTTCTCCACGATGTTAAGGGCCGCTGCAGGTCCGCGACGGATGTGGTTAGTGCTCATGCGTGACGGCAGCGCGCCGGGTGCGGTAGGAAGGGGGTGCACGCACATTGAGCATTCGTGAAGCCGTCCCCGTTTTGGTACGCTCTCACGCCGTACACCTAGGTTCAGGAAACTGGTCAGGCCGTATCTTTGGACTTAGAGTTCTGGAGAAGATACATACGTAGTCGACCTCCTGATACAGGGCATACGGCTTCCATATCCAGTGCAGGTCCCCGCCGACCATCGATCGAGGCCTGCATTGCGTTTCGAAGGTAGATAGGGGATGCAATGAGTATTCAGATAGGTGCAAGGGAGTGTGCCTCGAGTGCTCACCGTAGGAAACAGTACCCCGCATCCCAAAATATAACCGGAATGGTCAGTGCAAACCTGGAGAATGCGAGGAGCGATCAGCGCGTCGTCGACTTCGCACCGTACTGATTGCTACTCGTAGCAATACCCGTCTTCGCGAGGCGATCCGCAGGGGCAAAAGCACGTACCAGAGCGAGACCCAAACGTGTGTCTTGACCGCCATCGTTGTCCGTCGTGAGATAGCCTGTGCTAGTCGTGTTGCTGCTGGCTGTGTGAGCGCAAGAGCAGAGCTGTCGACCGCAGCGACGAACCGTGCGACGGAATCATGCGCGCCCAGCGAGCCATGGGAGAATGTGGGGAAGCGCGGTCCTCCGCCCCGGGCGCTCCGGCCTCCTCTTCGCGGCGATCCTCCTGTCCTTGCCCTTCGTCGTCCTCCCCGTCCTCCCCGCTCTCCTGCTCATCGATCGTGCTCGAAGTTGCTGTGGATGGTGCCTCTAGGTAGTAGCCCCAGCCTACACGGTTCTCGTTCAGGTGGAAGCCCCGCCTCCAGAAGAGTGTCCGCTGTTCACGCTCGGCGCGCTCTTGCGATTGCCGACGCGCCCGCTCGAAGGCCTCGCTCTGCGCCGCGGAAAAGAATAGCGGCCGGTACATCGTGGTTATCGTGGATGGATGTCGTTAGCGTGAAGTCGTCGGCTACGGGAGGCGGAACTGGAGGATACACGGGTATATGCGCGGTGGTGAGTGCTCGTGTGCGCGGCTCATTGTGTTGCAGGCCAAAGATCGTCCTGGACACGAGGCACGGCTGCTCTAAGCGGCGTGGCTTCACGATACAATACCCGCTTGTCTTACACGTTGCAATTGACTACGCGAGGTATGACGCTCCAACTGGCCGTTGTCCTGTTCATCCACCTTTTCTATGCACTCCACTATCCTGTCGGGCTGCGCGATGGTGCATCGGGCGATGTAAAGACTGTCGCTCGGAATGTGTGGTCACCGTGAAGCCGCCGCCTTTTTGAAGACACCACGACTAGTACTGTTCTAGTCATCACTCCATCGGAGACGCGTCTGTGTGGCTCATTCTCCGGTGCGTGTCCCGCCAGTGCACTCGGACTCGTTGTGGGCTTGATATGCCATTGAACATCGATTGTATGTGCTCACCATCCGGATCCAGCTACTCGAGATCCAGCAGGCATGCGAGACATGCATCAGCTCCTCGCAGTGGAGAAAACGTCGTGGTCAGCGCGCGCAACTCCGCGTACCACATCTGCCAAAAGTCGCATGTATTGAGCCCGAAGTCAGTATACAGACATGCACAGAGCTGCTGTTCTGCAGGGTAGAGCACCCCATACTTGTACTCGATGGAAGCGACCAATGAAACCGACATATCGATGTTAAAATGAGTCCGTGACACATTCCGCTGAGTAGAACAAAAACGTTATGCGTTTACTCCGTAGGTCTTTCTGGTTTCGTCGGTCATGTATGTCGACGTCCTAACGGCTCTTTCACAGGTTGGCCATGTCCCCAGATTAGGTAGCGTTTGCCCTGAACGATGCTCGAATGCCCCAAATACAGACTAGAATCCACGATGCAAATGAATCGAAGTTTCGTAACCAGCTCAAGCCGGTGTCGACCACTTTCTGATCTCCGTGGGTTGAAGAAGCCATACGTATTCTGCCAACGTCCTGTCATCCACGGGCGCGCCGTTCTTGCGACCCTGAGGGGCATTCTGCCGCCTTGGTATAACCCGAAGCGCGCTACACCCACGATACTTTCGTCCCAGAGGCCTCTGCTTCGTCTCCTATCTCAGGCCGTCGAACACACCAACGGGATGGATCCCAGTGTTGCGCACGTACAAGTGCAGGGCGTTCGACGCGCTATAGCAGCTAATGTGAAGCTCATCGCGGACAAGGCTATCCACTTGCATGTAAGTAGACTTCTTCGCGCCTGTTACAAACGCTTGCAACGTGGCATATACTCACCCAGGCTGATCCTTCATCGCAGGATGTGTTTGTCCACCCCTCCTTCAGCTTAGATCTCACTTCGGTGCTCGAGGACGTTGTGGGGGACAGCGTCATGCTGCATGCCCACCATGGACGTACCCACAAGGTTAGAAGAGATTTCCCATGTTTCAGCAGCCATGCTTCGAATGTCCTGACTGCATGGCCATCCCAGTTTGTTGCTACAGACACAGAGTTCCTCACGAAGCAAGCCCGGCGCATGCCTACAGCTGCCGACGACAACACCCAATTGCAGCGTGCAGACGCCGATGGCGCAAAAGTCCGTCCTCCTGCATCTATGTCCATACACAGGCCTCCTAACCCGCGCTCGCCGCTGCATAGCTTGCTACGACGAGTGACGCGTTCATCCTGGACGTCCTCGGAGACATAACCGCTGTCCTCGGCGACAACGCATCCGTGGCCTCCGAGCATCACGTTGCACCTGACGGCGTACGTCAATAGATCTCAGAGGTCAACGTCGTTATCCATACTCATGCGTAACGACACACAGCTGGCCATGTGCCAACCCGCCCTCAGTCTGCTGCTTTGCCAGAGTCTGAGTCGAGCAGTGCACTCCCGCGTGGCACAGCAGGCCGAAACAGAACGTCTTCGAAAGGCGGTATGTCGTTGATGGCACTCCGTCGATTTCTACCACGTTGATCTCATCGACTACAGTGCGTCGCGGCCAATAACAAGATAACCGCTATCACTAAAGAGAAACCGAAGCTTACGGGGGCGGTAGCGTCGATCCAAAAGACAGTCGTCGAGCTGGAGCAGGCCGTACGTGAGCTCCAAGGGGAGGTAGAGCGTGGTAAGGCGGACGAGGCGGCGCAGGCGAGAGTCGTGGTTCTCGAGGAGTCGTTGAGCGCGCTGCAGGAGGAGAACGTGCGGCTCCGGATGGACGCGAAGAACGAGGACGCGGTGGCTCAAGGCCTCGTGCGCAAGCTCGAAGGGGAACTTTGCACGGTGCATACTGCGCATTTGGGCTGCGATATGAAGGTACGCTCTAGCTCGTCCCCATGTGAACATGGAAAACCAGGCTCATGTGGTCTCCCCCATAGCTGCAAGGGAGGGACGTCGAGCTCGTGCAGCTCAGAGAGGAATGCAAGAAGTTGATCGCTGTGCATCAAGAGCAGCTCACAGTCGCGGCGGAGACGGCTCGGCAGCTGGCGCTCAAATGCGAGGAGAAACTCCATGTAGAGCTCGAGCGGAGCAAGCTCGCGGCGGAGCTTGCTGCGATGAAGGACTCGCAGAAGTCATTCAGCATCTTCAAGGCGCAGGAGTATGAGCGGATGACCGCCGAGGTATGCGCGTCCGTCACTATGTCCTGACGTAGGCTCACACAGTTTTTAGGCGGTGCGTTTGCGCCAATCTCTGAACAAAAGCGGCACCATTGGGGATGACAGCCTAGTGAAAGAGAACATGCAGCTGAAGGAAAGCGTACAAACGCTGCAAGGCGAGCTCGACGAAGCCGATTCAAAAGTACTCATATGCTACCCACTCCAAATTGTTTTATTCTTAACAGTCTGTTCTTCAGTTCTGGGGCGCCCTGGAGAGCTGCCGCACGTGGAAGACTACGCTAGACGATGTGATGGCTCAAAACATGGTAGATATGGAGAAGATTCGGAGGGCTGCGGCGACCGAGCGAGAAATCGACCAAGGCGAAGTAAGTGTCTTGGGAAGTACAAGAGATACTAGATTAACCAACTTGCTTATAGCTTCTCAACGCGACGCGCAAGATAGCAGAGCTGGAAGCCCAACTCCGTGAACGCGTCGCAGATGTAGTTCGGCACTCTTCATACCACGCGTGCCTCGACTAAGAATCACGGACATAGGTTTCAGCGTTGCGCGAGGCAAGGGCTAGTGAACGGAACCACAAAGGTCTGAACTTGGCCTTTGACGGCACATTGTCATTGCCGAACCGAAGCCAGGAGATGGCCGTTATGCCGCAAGTTCCCGTCGCCGTCCCCGCCCTCGCGGACGCGGCGAGAATCTTCACGAAGAAGTCGCTGGCGTCCATCACTGGTGGGTTTATAGTACATATCATCGGACGGTATGTGGGCTGGGCACGATCATCCGCCGTCGACGATCTATTCATGCAGTCACGTTATACAGCTGCTCACCCAATGGAACAGAGTTCGCGCGCAGACACGGTATTCGCGAGTACCTCTGCCCTAACACGGAGCAACACGCCTTTCTACCAGCGGGTCCTGGCAAACACGGGTACCTGCAATTCGGCTTTGGCAAAGCCAACACCCTCTTTGAGAAGGGCGAGTACCGTCATGTCTTCGTCGGGACTAGCAAGTTTTACGTCTACTATGGCTTCTACCACGTCCTGCGCGTGGAGGCTCTCACGCAACACGAATGGGCGTCGCTTCCCATCCAGGTACAGCCGTCTCTCCAAGATTGCGATATGATGGGCTTACAGCATTGGCAGTTGAAGATGTATTACAGCCATCTAACGGCGCAGAAGGATAAGTCCGATAGTTTAAAGACCATACAGCCAGTCCTCGCGGACTACGAGTCGGGCACCCTACGGGCCCCCTGCGTTCGTCTCCAATGCGTCGCATTCGACACGAAGTTCCACGAAGAGCTCATACGGGCTAACACGGAACGTCTGGGTGGGCCCGCGGAGCGAAGCAACGGCGGCGACGGCCCGCGGAAGCGGCAGCGTGTAGCACCAACGAACGGGAGTGACAGCGATGACTCAAGCGAGGACGATGTCGCACTGGCGGTGCTTGCTAGCGCGAAGGGGCGAAACACCACAAACCCGAGGCGACGGATGAGGTGTGTGTCATCCTCTCCGCTGTCTTCCGTGTCGGGTGAATAGAGCGGCGAGGATGATGTTGGCTCGTTTGCCGTCCGGTATCAAGGCCCGGAGTCGTGTGGAGGTGCGATTTGCATGTTCATCGTTCAGTATGTGATTTCTTGAGCTCTCGAGACAGACTGTAGGCTGTGATCCACGTAGCCCGAAGGTTCCTGAAGTTCCTCATCGCACACAGGGGCGCGCGTCCTATAACAGTTATCACCTTTCCGCAGGGAGAAGTTGCCGATCAAGACTGTACGTACGACCAGGCAAACGTAAAGAGATCATGTGCGTCCAACGCTTCTAAGTCCCATGGAAGTCCGGGTGCATTGCATAGAAGCATTCATCCCCAGCCGTCCTCTATTTCGTCCCGCCTTGCGCACCTCTCGTGGCAACGTACTGAGCCGGGGTCGCAGCCTTGAGGAATGCCCCCACGTTCTCTACCCCGTCCCCTCATCTCTTCGGCGGAGCGATTATCTGCAACTACGCTTCCACAGGTCTCAGCAATAAGTGCTCGGTGTTCCACAGTGTAAACTGAACGGGCATAGCAAGGCCCTATATCCGCAGGCTCGCCGAAGATGGACGCCGAGGTGGTCACGGCCCAGATCAAGGCCCTTCGGAGCCTCGTCGACACCAACCTGACTGTCCTGGCGCAGCACGACTGTGAATTGGAGGTCAGTTGAACACCGATCTCTCGACTCCATCACCCGCGACTTGGGGCTCACCTCTTTATCGCACACAGGGGGTCTTCATCCACCGTGACCTTGTACTGCACCAGTTTGACACGTTGGATGCGGTCTTGGAGGATAGCGTCAAGCTGCAAAGCAGGAATACTGGCAAAGAAGTCAGTCTGTGTCCGCATGCATCTTCTCTGATCCTTTACTTGTGTGTCCACGGGTACTGACCTCAGACCCAGCTCGCTTTGTTGCAGCCGGCATTCCTTCGCGAGCAGTTCAAGATTATCCCTGCTCTTGCCCAGGATATGCAATGGTTGCGAGAAGCGAGGGTCGGTAGCAGGAAGGTAAGAATGCGTTCACGTCACGCTGACGCTTCCCATCCGCCCCAGACTGATGCCGATTTGAATCCGTGGTGTTTGCAGTTACGATTGCAGATGATGGGCGACACGTTCATCTTAAACATGATGGAGGGCATATACCCTCCCGCGATCGAGAACATCGACATCTGCGCCGCCTTCGCGGACGGGGCCGACGTGCACTCAGTAGGTACCGCATCGCGCTTTCGTACTACACGGTACTAACGAAGAACTGCGCAGTTGAATGTTATGCAGCCCGAGTTCGTGAAGAGGCTCATGCGCTGGTTCCTGCAAGTGGCGCATTCGCACGTCGTCCAGAACAGAGACACGGCGACCTACGTAGACTTTGTGCGTCCAAGTCTGCATTGCCGGCCGTCTGAACTTGCTGACGACGTATATCGAACGTCTTGCATGTCCTCTCAGAGAGACTCTGCAGAGGGTACTATGGCAGCCTTGCGGGAAGAAGCGGCGACGCTACGAGCATCGGAAGCTGCGCTGCAGGCCAAAGTGAAGGAGGTCGAGGCTGCGATGCAGGCTAAGATGCAGAAACTCGAAGCCGCGACGCAGACTAAAGTCACCGAGCTCGAGGCCACCATCGGCGATCTCCAACGACGGAAGAATAACATCGATGCGATACTGATGACCGAGCAGATGACCCTCCGAAGGCTCGGAGAAGAGAAACGACTACTCGAGCAGAGTGTTAAGGCGTCAGAGGCCGCCGCTCGCGCGGCGCTCGAGGCCGCCCAAGGAGAGGCGGATATGCTGCGCGCCGCCAACGCGGACTGCGGCAGGAAGGTGAGCATACGACTAGAATTATCGCCGGCAAGCGCAGTCTCACAGGAGGCTTGGTAGATCGCGGAACAGATCACGCAGCTCTCGCGGCTCCAGGAGCAGATCGATGTACGAGACAACGAGTTGGCTGCGCTCAAGGTGGCGCGCGCCGAGCCTCCTCGCGGCCCGGTATTGAGACTGAGATACGTCCCTCAGGTGAAGCCCGTGGCGCCCAGTCGGGGGGACCGCACGAGCAGCTTGTCATATGCTGGCAGTGATAAGACAGAAGAGGACAAGGACGAGCGGGCAGAGGAGCAGAAAGCGGCGAGGAGCGAAAGCAAGGACGAGGAGGAGGAAGACGAAGAGGGCGAGATCCAGCAAGTCGACGAGGAGATGAAGGATGCAGCGGAGGTCATGGAAGCGGAGTTGCAGGACACTAAAGCGAAGGTCGCCGTTGTTCACGTTCTATCACGACGTGGTACCCTGTGCTCACCCCCTTTGCTTTGCAGCTGCAAGTGGCACTGAAAAAGGTGGCGCGTCTCGAAGTGGAGCTTGTGCTTTGCCGAGACAACCCCTTCAGAACAGTAAGCAATCATACGAGCCACGCCCATAGTATTGACAACTCACATCCGTTGATGTCTCGCAGGGCGGGGAATCGTCAGCCCAAACGGCCCCAGACCGGATCCCTGCCTCCCTCACATCGTGAGTGACCTGCGAGCTATACCCGTGCCCGCTCCTCGCCGACAGCTACGCCAGGGTGAATCTCACAGCGCTCGGGCTACTCGCCCTACCGCATCGCGCGCGGGAGCTCGCCCAACTGCCCGAGGTGACCGTCGACCTCCCGCCCGACTTGAGCGGCATATACAGCGCCTTCACGCGCGCCTCGATCCACGCCAGCCTCGGGGGTTCCATGGGCGGATTCCTCGTCAGGTGCGCTCCATATGTTCTCTCCATACCCCAACTATAGCGGGGCGGCTCAACGGGCGTGGCTCGGTGGGCAGGTGCACGAACAGCCAGACGGCCCGCGCGAGGGACAAGGACATCACGTCCTTCCTGTGCCTCAACATGGACATGAACCCGTGGCTGCCCGCCGCGCCCGGCCGCCACGGCTACATGCAGGTCGGCTTCGAGCAGGACCTCAAGCTCCTCCTCGACGGCGAGAGCCAGCACGTCTTCGTCGGCGCCGCGCGCTGGTTCTTCTACTGCGGCGAGTACCGCATCCGGCGCGTGGACGACCTCACGCTCGAGGAGTGGAACATGCTGCCGTTACCGGTGAGCACGGCGTGCCACCCAGTAGCGAACGAGGGCTGACCGTCGCCGCCCTGTGCGACTGCTTGTGCAGACAAAGGTCGTGTACGCGGAACACACGTTGACCAAGAAGCTGGCGAGCGAAAACGTCACGATCCAGCACGTGCTGGAGCGCTACGAGATCGGCGACCTCAGGCTGCCCTGCGTGCAGCTCGAGTGCATTGGCTTCGATATGGCCTTCTACAAGGCCATCGTCGACGACAATGTCCGCCATAGGCGCTACAGCGGCCCACCTACCATATCGCTCCCCAAGGCCGGATCAAGAAAGAAGCGCAAAGTCGGGGTCGAAGAGGTGCATGACGAGGACGCGGATGAGTGAAGGAGAAGCCGCCCCTCGAGTATATTCCAGATCTGTGAGAGTCACTGTACCGAGCAGCCATATGATCAGGTCGCGCGACGTGCTCTTTTGCCGCGATCACGATGTGTTGTGTCGCGCTCGTCGAGTACGAAGACCGGGTGCTCTGTCCCGCAGAACAGCAGCCTCGCGCATGCCTGCCCACGTACTTCGGGCTCATCGCGCGGGTCCTCCAACATGTGTGGCGCGCCGCTCTGCGCGCGTTCACCACAACGTATTCCCCGCCACGGTCAGCCGATCCCGGCCCCCAACTTGGCATGCTTGTCGGGCCTTGGACGACCGCGTCCAGGTGATTATGTTCTGTTCAGGCCGTCCCTCTGCCCCTGTCAGCGAGTTGATGCATGTCCGGAACTGTTTTGACTGTACTCTGTCCTTCGAGGTCGCGTGTCGTATTTGTGCCAATCCTGAACCAACCAAAAAGATCAATTGAAACTAAGATGCAGCGAGATAGGGTAGATTAGAGAAACCAAATATTGCCACACCAATGGCAAGTATATCGTCGCGACGCGTCCCGGGCCCACTAGTAGTCCTTGCCGGGCTGCCACTTCCCGTACGAGCCGCTGAACTTGAACTCGCCGCTGTCGGACCAGCGCACCGTGACCTCGCTGCTCGTGATGTGCAGCGTGTCGTACCTGGCGCCGCACACACAGCATCAGCAACGCGAACAGACGGAGAACGAGCAGCGGGGCCGCATTGCGCACCTCACAGAGCCCTCGACGGGGCCGACCAGCTTCTGGAACTCGTCCGTGCTGAACTTCTTCATCTTGAACTTCGGGGGCCCGCCCAGCCCCATCAGCGCGCCGAACACCTCCGGGTCGGGGCAGATGCCGTCGTAGGAGAACTTCGCGGAGCCCGTCTTGCACGAAGGCTTCCACTACACAACGACAGGGGTGAGCACGCCGCGACGCAAGCAAGCGCGTATACATGCGCAGTCTGAGTGTGGGCGTACCGTCATCTGCTTCTTGATCCCGCTCTGCGCAGCGCGCCTGATCTTGTCCGCCGCCGCCTCGAGCTCTGCCGGGGACTTCGCGGGCTTCGCAGCGGCGGCCGCCTTGCTACTGCCCGCGACAGGCGCGCCCGCGTCGGCGACCTGCTCCTCGAGCGAGCGCGCGTACTTCGCGAGTTCGACCAGAGACTTGCGCACGACTTCCTCGTTGCCGGAAATGGGGTACCCCTTGGGGTTGGCGAGGATGGAGTTGACGAGGGCGACGGTCGCTGCGTGGGCGGCGCCGCCACGCGTTTTCTTGGCCGCGGGCGCGGGCGCGCCGTCGTCGTTCTTCCGCTTCGAGCCGGACGGTTGGGAGGACATGGCGCGCGCCGTGGAGAGTGAGGGGAGGAGACAAAGAGAGGGCTGGTCGCTGTCCCCGGAGGAGGCCGTTCTGGGCACGACAACGCGTCTGGTCACAAAACATATCGCATGGGGTCACGCGTTTGATCGGCCATTGATCGACATCGTCCCCTGAGATCGCTCTGAGACCTTGCAAGTTGCAGGGACGGCATCGAAGGTCTCTGTGGCGAACTATTACGCTTTAAGACGACTTATGCAAAGTCAGTACAGCCTCTGGTATACTTACATGCAGATACCGACCAGAAAGGCCATGACTGCAACGATAACAGGAAATTTCATAACGGAATTCCCTTGGGAGGCCCTTGAACTTGTACTCGCTGTTACCGATCCAGCGCATAGTGACTTTGGGGCTAGTGATGTAAATTGAAGCATACCTGTCGCAGAGGAGTAAGAACAAGGAGTTTAGCAAATTACACAGAAGTCTACATACCTCACGGAGCCCCCAAATCCTCCGCGACGGTGCGCTACTGAAGGCTACGAACGGGAGACCGCTTCATTTCAGAGCACCGATGATCTTACAGTAACAGTACAGCCCAGTGCACCGCCGAGGACGGCGGAGGAGGTTTCGGGTCAACATTGGGAACGCACTAACTCAGTCCTTCTTCGGCAGTTTGCCGTACGATCCGCTGAACTTGAACTCGCCGGTTTCGTTCCAGCGCACGGTGACATCGGCACTCGTGATGTGTAGCACATCGTACCTGTTGCAAGAAAGTTGTAAGACAGGGACAGAATGGAGCGCACGGGAATACGTGCCTCACGGAGCGGTCGAGTTCTCCGATGAGCTCTTCAAACGCCTCCGCCTTAAACTTCTTCACCTTGAACTTCGGCGGCCCTCCGAGCCCCATGAGCACACCGAAGACCTCGGGGTCAGGGCAGAAGCCGTCGTACGACCACTTCGCTCGTCCTTGCTTGCAGGTAGGTTTCCACTGCATATATGCGCGTGGGATGAGGATGAGAATGCATATATGCGGCTGTATGCGGTCGGACTCACCGCCATCTGCTTGATGATTCCGTTCTGAGCGGCATTTCGGATCCTTTCGGCCTCCACCTCGAGTTCATCCTTGGACTTGACGGCCTTTGCAACGGGAGCGACGGGCTTGGCGTTGTTCGCAACGCGAAGTGCGCGGTTCTGTTCCTCGAGAGCATTTGCGTAGACGGCGAGATCCACGAGCGCGTCTCGGACAGCTTCTGCGCTCGCCGGAGCGGGGAAAGACTTGGGGTTGGCGAGTATCGTTTTTAAAAGCACAGCAGCCGCAGCGTGGGTGCCGTTTCCAGCGACACGCGCCTTCTTGGGGGGCGCGGCAGCAGACACGTTCTCATCGTTCTTGCGTTTGGTGCTTGCGGATGCGGTGAGGACCATGGTGAACGTTGTCGAGGGCGTGGTGGTGGGATGAAGGAATACAGGGCGTAAATGCACGCCCTGATAACCCCAGCCCGCACTCCACTCCATGGCAGGTCTCTTCACTACGCCGCACACTCTTCACCAGGACGTCCGATGTGGTCCTGGACAAGACGCGTATGGTCACGGGCGAGACGCGTCGCGTCACAGAAGCGCGCCAAGAGATAAGATTAGATGCTCCGCGATCTCGGATGGATGGACTCCGGCTCATCGAGATTGCGCCGGGATCGACCCAGAGGGCAAGCCTTCGCGCAATATTAATCCAATCGATCCCTCTCCAGGTCCTCACTCCTCTCTTCCGCACCCTCAACCAAATACCTCCGACTCTCTCACACATACATCAGACAGCATGGGTCGTCAATTCTTCGTCGGTGGCAACTTCAAGATGAACCCGGTCACCCGGGAGCAGAAGAACGCCCTCGTCAAGGTCCTCAACGAGGCCGATATCGACACCAGCGTCGGTGTGTACCCGCTTGTGCATTGCAATTATGCGATGGTATGCTGACCGGGTGCTCACAGAGGTCGTCATTGCGCCGCCTGCGCTCTACCTCCTCCCCTTGAAGGAGACCCTCCGCAAGGAGATCCAGGTTGCTGCCCAGAACTCCTACTTCAAGACCTCCGGCGCGTTCACCGGCGAGATTAGGTATTCCCCATCCACTAACATACTGGTCGCAATACTGAACGTATATTCCCGCTAGCCCCGCCCAGCTCGTCGATGCAGGCATCCCCTACGTTATCCTCGGTACGCCCACTTCACCCGCACCTATCTATCCCCACTAACCCCGCTCCCCCCTAGGCCACTCCGAGCGCCGTACGCTCTTCCACGAGACCTCCGCGCTCGTCGCGGACAAGACGCGCGCCGCGATCGACGCCGGCCTGCGCGTCATCCTCTGCGTCGGCGAGACGCTCGAGGAGCGCGAGGCCGAGCGCACCAAGGCCGTCGTCGAGGCGCAGCTCCAGCCCGTCGTCGCCGCGCTCAAGCCGGAGGACTGGGCCAAGGTCGTCGTCGCGTACGAGCCCGTGTGGGCGATTGGCACGGGCAAGGTCGCGAGCGCCGCGCAGGCGCAGGCCGCGCACAAGGACATCCGCGCGTTCCTCGCGAGCGCGGTCTCGCCCGCGGTCGCGGAGAGCACGCGTATTATCTATGGCGGCTCGGTCACGGCGGCGAACTGCAAGGAGCTTGGTGGGTTGCTTTTCTCGCGTCACTGGCGTTGGGGGCGGGGGCTGATAGCGTTGCTTTTAGGCGGTCAGGCGGACGTTGACGGGTTCCTCGTCGGCGGCGCGTCGCTCAAGCCCGAGTTCGTGAACATCATCAACACGAAGAGGGCATAAGCGTGTATGCAAGGTACGGCGGTTGTCCTTTGGCTGGCTACTATCCATAGAGAAGAAAACGCGAAGCTGTATGCGTAGGCAGATGAACAAATAGGGGTGCTCAATTCTGGCCGGCCGTTTGCCAGGACACTTTCTGAGGGCGTCTCTTTGCGTTGATGGACTGATGCGCGGAAGTGTGCGGATAAGCGAGGAGGTACGAAACGTTGAATTGTTGGGTCAGGAAGCTTGTGAACGTTCCGTATTGGGTAATTATTCGAACTCCGTGCGGGAGAGCTCGCTGTCTTCGCCTCACTATGGGCTACGGGCTTACGCGTAAAAGACGAGAGAAAAGCGAGTGTGTCGTAGTGATAGGGAGAATCCTTCCATCGAGTTTATGGGCACAAATAACCTCCACACTCCCCAATGCACGAACTTGTGGAGGGCGTTGCGGCGAGTTCTCTCTAGGGTTACAGTAGGGTTACCTCGTGCGCGAGACTTTTCGGCTATTCTCGCCTGTCCTCGCTTCGCTCCATCACTGCCATCAGCCTTTTCAAAAAGTGTCCTGGCAAACGGCCGGCCAGAATTGAGCACCCCTAATGTACATTGTAATCTACCGTACAGGCATCCGTGTGCCTGTCTAGGATCTCGAACGACGTGGCACGTTTGCGATGCACACATTTTTTTGGGTTGGCGCTAAGTCTGTGCGTGATGCATCATACAGTGTAGTATACTTCGGTCCCTTCCTGACGTGCATTGATGAAAAAAGTTGAAATCTTCATGACATCGCCATATTGACGAGAGTGGGATTCGAACCCACGCCCTTTCGGACCAGATATCGCAGCACTGTGTGGTACTCCTTAGTCTGGCGCCTTAGACCGCTCGGCCATCTCGCCATGCGGGAAGCGAGGAGGGACGTTCCTCCCCATCGTGCGCAGGACAACTTGTACGAGCCACCTTGGCGGTGTGTACCAACAAGCATCGTCCCAGATTTATGTCCTCCAGGCCGGAAATTCTCTTCAACGGCGAACGCCATATGGCGAGATGGCCGAGCGGTCTAAGGCGCCAGACTAAGGAGCACCTCAAAGCGCTGCGACATCTGGTCCGAAAGGGCGTGGGTTCGAATCCCACTCTCGTCATGGGTCAGTGTCTTTTCAACTCTTTTTTTGGCCTTACTCGTGTCAATTACCTCCTCCTGATGATAGACGGTCCACGTCTACAGCCATTCAAATCTCACACAGTGCGTATTTGTTGTATGACGTATCTATCAATTGTGTGTGGTGCAGCGGGCCCGTCGAAATATACATATTCTCGGCACCTTAATGGGCGTCTATTGATATTGAACAGACTCCGCGATCATCGATGGTCGCGTTCATTGTGAGGCAGCCATGATGGGCCCCAGCATAACTGTACCAAGCGGAAGAGATTGAGAGGTACAATATTTTCGGTGAGTCTCGGTATCAATTACCAGGGGCTGCGGTAGCAGCCATTTCACAGCTGATGTCTTCAAGACTCCGGGCTGTAGTAACTCTGCTAGCGCATGTCAAATTGACCAACTTGAAGCCGTTACTCCTAGACCTCATGTAGCCTGCCTTGCTCTCTCTGGTCGCGCAGCGTGCTCGTTTGATGCAACCAAGCTGCGTGCAGGCCGCTTGGGCCGCAGGGTGAGCTCAAAAGGACCACGCACATACGGGCTGGGGGTATATAATGCTCGCCGGTCACCGCCCTACGGTGCTCCCCACAACTCGGACGCCGCTCCATCTACAGCTCAAAAACGGATCCGGAAATCTGAAGTAAGCTGATGCTCTTCGAGATGTGCCAAATACTGACCAGTGGCTCTTTAAGCAGACTCGAAGATGCAGCCCTCGGTTTCCGCAGTGCACCGCGGCCTGCTCATAAGCGAGGTTTTTCGGGTCATCGCCGCCTGGCTCTGCACGTCCGACAGCAAGAAGACGCTGGTATCGCTCGGGATGACGTGCCGAACGATGGAAGAGGCGTCCATGGCCATGTTGTGGGAGACTCTGAGTGGCCCCATGCCGCTCTTGCATCTGCTTCCTGCCAATGTATGGTCGGAAGTCCCTGACCCGAAATACGGGACACTCCAGCTTGTACGTCCCTGATGCTAGCCATATTCGCGCACACAGAGACTTACCGGTCGTGTACACAGGAAGTAACTAAACCTGAGAACCTCGAATGGACCAGATTCAAGCGCTACGCCCAGCATGTGCGGCACTTCAGTTGGCTACGCCCGGAGAGGGTCTCCTCCAACGTCCTTACTGCACTCGCGAAACACCTACCAGCCGGCCAGCCACTCATACCGAAGCTTCACACGCTGATTTGGGACGAGTCCCGGTCGGAAACCTTCGGCCTCCACCTCTTCCTCACCCCAGCCATCCGGCACGTGGAGCTCACCTTGAGGAATGGGGACCCATCCAAGCTGATGTCTCTCCTCACTCAGATGGACGCCGTGCGGAAGACCCTCACGTATCTCAAGATGACTATTGGCACGTCTCGCGAGGGGGAGATGAAGTGCACGGGTCCACTCAGCGACGCCCTCGCGCGGTTCCTCAGCTCCATGCCGGAGCTCAAAGACTTCTACTGTGCTATCTGGAGCCTTTCGGCAGGCTGCGTGGAGGCGTTGGCTGCGCTCCCCAAGCTCGCAAAGTTGACGTTGTACGTAGGCGAGCAGGACAAGCACGCATGGATCGCCTCGGCGGCCTCCCATACACGCAGTGGTGCGCACTGGTTTCGTGCCCTCAAGTACTTAGGCCTCTACACGGAACAGATGGACCGTGGCATAACGGCATTCCTCGCAGCCGTCCAGAGCGACCACCTACAGGAGCTGCTGGTGCGCGTCTCTCACCCGCCGGCAGGTTACCACGGGCTGAAGCAGGAGCTTGGGATCCTAGGCTCGCAGTGCCCGTACCGAGACTCCCTTGCCACCGTGGAGATCACTTTCCGGAGACCTTCGGCATACGGTTCCAGCAATACCAGCACTGACCAGAGTCTACTCAATCTGCTAGACGTCGAATACGTGTTGCAGTTGTTCTACGTCTTCCCCCGCATCCGCAAGTTCACAACTATCGGTTGGGCGCTGTACGCCGGAGGGAAGTCGCTCCCCCGTCTCGCGAACGCATGGCCAGAGCTTGAGAGTCTCACGATGTACGGCTATAGTGTCCCCGAGTCGTTCATGGAAGGACACACCGGCAACATCGTACTGGAGGACCTGGCAAGAATCCCGCGCCTCCTCCCCCGCCTTCGGACACTCGAGCTCCAAGTGGACGCAAGTGTGGTGCCGGACGCGCAGACCGTCGCGCGCCTGCTGCCCGAGCCATCGCAGAGCCCGCTGCGGAGCCTCATTGCGCGCAATGCGCTGATCACCGACGCGGACCAAGTGGCGTCCTTCTTGGCTCGCGTGTTCCCGGAACTGGAGCAGGTGGCCTATGCCAGGATGGTGGGGTATCTCGGCAGTCAAGGGGCGACAATTGGGGAGAAGTGGTCGAAGGTGGAGAGCATTTTCAAGGATAAGATGGGCGCATCGGAGCACGCCTCATCTGACAAGTTCAATTCCAAGTAGCGATTCCCAGTACTATGCTATAGAGAACTATACATGTAGAGTCAATAATGAACAGATGGTACATAAATACGCCCGCCTAGGATGTCAGCGTACGCCTGCGCTTGTTAAAGTTGTTTGAGGCGACCCGATATCGCGGGATGGTACTTACTATCGGCGCTTAATTACTAGTACGATGGCCGGACCGCGTTCGACGAGCCGATGCTCTCTCTTGCTCTTCACCTCGATACATCCTTTTTCAACGAGAATAGCCGCCTCGAACCATCCTAGCGTTCAATCTTGGTTCGGAAATCAGACACTGGTGAGTAACACGTGTGCAAGACTTCAAGCTTGACGCAAGTTGTCCCAAAGCTCTCCGAGTCGTCAGTACCATGGCAGTGACGGTGAGTCGCTTTCTTAACTTGAATCTGGTGCGTAGCGTTGAAAACGGTGACTAACGTCTACATAGGCCTATCTAAAACGAGAAATGAGCGTATGCTTCGCCGCTTTGACCACACAAAGCGTCGCGGTGCACTACATATCCATGCGGTGGCCCTCTCAAGCGTCACCGCTTGGTCCTCTACCAGTTAGTGTCAAAAATATCTGCGAACCGCATGGACGGTACAGGTGAGGCAGTAGTCAAAGCGGAACATGGATGGCGCTACAAATAGTGGCGGATCTCGCCATTGAGAACAATACCCGTCGCCGCCCCAAGTGCTTCAATACCTTCGAAACGCCATACTAAGTACGTCATTGCTTCGAATATACTCAATTAGCGCTGACCATGCTTGCGGGTCGCTTGATAGGTCATAGAACGACATGATCGCTTTGACTCCCGCAGCACATCGCAGCCTCGTTGTGAGCGAAATTTTCCGGCTCATCGCGGGGTCGTTCTGCAAATGTACGAGAAAACGCGCTCTGGCGTCGCTCGCCCGAACGTGCAAGACGCTTTATGCCGCGTCTACACCAAAGTTATGGAAACATCAAGATAGCCTCGTACCGCTCTTGCGGCTTCTTCCGCCCGATACATGGACAGAGGACATTCTCCCGAGCGGCGGGAGCGTCTTCGTACGTCTTATCTTAGTCCTATCCGCTCATGCGTCCACAGACTAATGGCATCCGCAGAAAATCACCGTGACAGATCCCAAACAACTCGATTGGACGCGGTTCGACTACTATGCAGAACATGTACAACACCTCGTCTGGGAAGAGCGACAAGATGTCTCGCTCCTCGCACTGACTGCGATTGCCATGTCCCGCCATCATGACAAACGGCGGCTCCTCCCCAAGCTCCGCACACTCGATTGGCTAGAGCCGCGGGCGACCCACTCCCCCTTTATCCATCTCTTCCTTACGCCCACGATCAGACACTTGGGTCTCATGGCATCTGACGTCGATCCGTCCGTCTCGACAGCGTTGTTCGAGCACTTAGGAGCGGTCTGCAAGAGCATAGACTCACTCAAGATCCTTAAGGCCGCCCAAGACGATGATATGCAGGAGTTCACGGGAGTCGTCGGCCATGCCTTCGCACGTCTCCTCCGTGGCCTGCCAGAAATCAAGTCCTTCGTGGGCGAGTTGTTCGTGCCGGCGGACTGCGTAGAAGCGTTGGCCTCGCTGTCCAGGCTCCAGGAGGTGGTGTTCTACGTCAAGCAACAAGAGGTGGACATACTAGCTAAGTCCGCTTCCGCGGTCCGTTTCTCGCGTGACGGACAGTGGTTCGACACTCTCAAAGTCCTGGAGCTCGGTACTGACCGAATGGACGACTCGGACAGCCTGAAGACCTTCCTGGACGCCATGCCGATGGGAAAACTGCGGCGGGTCCTGATCAAATCCAGACTACAACCTGACACCGATACGGTCAAACAGCACCTCGAACTCGTCGCGCGCGCGGCGTCTCGCGACTCCCTGACTAGCCTGCAGCTGGACTTCAACCGCATGCGCTCCATGGACAGCTCTTATCCGGTGCTCGACGTCGGGGAAGCGCTCCGCCCGCTCTACGCCTTCCCACACCTCGACACCCTCATCGTCCGCGCCCCCGCGCTGGTCGTTCCCGCGAGCGCGCTCCGGGACATCGCGCATGCTTGGCGAGAGCTCAAGACCCTCTCGCTTATGAGCGACCATCCTCACCCTCGTCGCAACAACTACCCATGCCTGGCCCTCGAGGACCTCGTCCCGCTCGCGCGCAACTGCGCGCGTCTAGATACGCTGACGCTGCATGTCAGTGCATACGACTTTGTGCTGCCGGATGCGGCCGCGCTCGCCCACCTGCTGCCTGAGCCGTCGCGCTGCCCGCTACGGGTCTTTACTGCGTGCGATGCGGCCATCGAGAACCCAGCTAAGGTGGCAGACGTCCTGGCCCGTTTGTTCCCGGGGCTGCGCGAGGTGGAGTATGAGGGCGCGGTGCGGTTCGTGGGCGATGCGCACGTTGCGTACGAGCGCAAGTGGAAGTCCACGCAAGCATTGCTCACGGCGAGGTTGGACACGTCCGAGCGGTCCTCGCCCACTCACCGGTGCGAATAGAGGATTCGTCTTGTGGGCGATTTATTATCTCCTTCCTCCACTCTGTATCTGATATGACGCATTTGCAACCTAGCTAAACTTCGTCCAAAAATTGCATTAGACTGACATGCTTACTGCTAGTGGAGTCGCACGGCCTCGACGCACTTCTCAAGATACTACACCTCCATTGTTGGGCGCACAATGTATTTTGGCGGACCAATTGAGCGCTCGACTCGGTCTACTAGGCGACGCCAAGGCTGACTCTTCGCCGCATTGGCTGTGGCTACTCGAACAATAGCTCAATGCAGCAATGCGGGACGCAGATAAACTCCGACTTCGCTCCCGACACTGGCAGTTTATATAACGCCCCGCTTTCCAACAAAGTGCACTCATCATCAAAGCCCTACTCTCTCTATCTCTCCCGCAGCCTCAACCACTGCACATCGTACGGAGTACGTCAAGGCACTACGAGACACTCGCTGCCTTCTGATCAGGGTTGTGGCTAAATGACAGGTCATAATGAGCTCCTCTTTGACTCCTGCAGTGCTTCGTTGCCTCGTCATTGGCGAGATTCTTCAGGTCGTCGTTGACGAGCTCGACACGTCCGACTATACTGGCAAGATCAAACAGCGCACTCTGGCGTCGCTCGCTCAGACGTGCAAGGCGCTGTACGCGGCATACATACCCGGACTCTGGGAATCTCAAGATAATCTTGAACCGCTTTTGCAGTTCCTTCCACCCGATATACAAACGGAGACTCTTCTTCCAGGCGCCAAGACCGCCTTCGTATGTTCCTCGTGTTGGCCATGCCTACAGATATATATCGACTCACTGACAGTATCCTCAGCAACTCACACAACCTGAGGAACTCGACTGGACGAGGTTTAACCACCACGCCCAATTCGTGCGACACTTGCGCTGGCAGACGCCATGGCAGCCTAACCGAGGCGACGTCTCGCTTCTCAACAGGCTGGCCGCCCTCTGCAGCCAGCGCCCCGCAGGCACGCCGCTGCTCCCCCAGCTGCGCGAGCTCGAATGGCGCGAGACCCGCGCGACTTCAAACTTTTCACTCGTCGACCTACTCTTGACGCCGACTATCACGCAGATGGGAGTCACCATATCATCCGACGTCGACCCAGCCATCATGAAGGCGTCCTTCAAGCGCATAGGCGAGGTATGCAAGAGCATAGAGTCGCTCGAAATCCGTACGTATTCACCACTGAGGGATCATATGCGAGAGTTCCATATGCGGGAATTCCGCGTCGTCGTCGGCAACGTCCTCACGCCGCTTCTCCGTGGCCTCCCGGAGCTCCAGCGCTACAAGAGCCATGATGCATGCTTATCCGCGGACGGCGTCAAGGCGTTGGCGGCGCATCCCAAGCTCGTGGAGGTAGACCTCTGCGTCCAATCGCAGGTGGTAGACGTGATCAACGCTGCCGCGGACCATCGCTCACCTCATGGGCGGTGGTTCGATGCCCTCGAAACTCTGGTACTTAACGTGCACCGGATGGAGGGGCGCACAATGGACTTCCTGGGCGCCATGCAGTGGGGACACCTCCGGGAGGTGCGCCTCAAATCCAACATTGTACCCGCCGCCGATATGGTCAAGCAGCACCTCGCGCTCCTCGCGCGCGCCGCGTCCCCCGACTCCCTCCGGCGCGTGCAACTCGACTTCCACTCCGGCCCGTACCACGGAAACCCGAATTTCGGCGCGAGACGTGACCGCGACGTAGTGTTGGACATCGGGGAAGTGCTGCAGCCGCTCTACGCATTCCCCCACATCGACACGATCATCATCCGCTGCCCCGCACTGGTGACCGGCGCGGCGGCGCTCCAGGACATTGCGCACGCGTGGCCGAAGCTCAAGACCCTGTCGCTCATCCAGCCGGACCCGCAATTCCCACCCCGCTTGGTCCTCGAAGACCTCGCTCCGCTCGCACGCAGCTGCCCCGGTTTGGACCTCCTCGAGCTGAACGTATACGCCAACAGGGTGCCGTGTGGGGCCGCGCTTTTGCAACTGCTGCCCGAGCCGTCGCGGTGCAGGCTGCAATGGCTGACTGCGCTCGACGCGACGATCGAGAACCCCGTCGCGGTCGCCAACTTCCTCGCCTATCTGTTCCCAGCGCTGGACCAGGTCGTGTACCAGAAGCCGAAGTGGGATTTGGCCCCGTACCAGCCGGTGAAGGAGTACACCCGTATGTGGGAGAAGGTGGAGAGGATGCTCAAGGATAGGTTGGAGGTTCCGGAGCTATATGCGTACACCGCTGTGTCTGAGCGTGTGCCCTTGCCAAACACTCCTTCATCAGCTTTCAGAGACCATGTTGTGACGGTGGGGCCATGCCTCCGAACGTGAGGTAGACAATTCACTACCCCAGTGTCATCATTTAATTTAATGACGAACTTCAATTGAACTCGGCTTCGTTCCTTCGACTTTCCAAACTGATCGTATTTTTCTCTATTCGCAAGCGGCGCTGTAGGCATGGCGGCACTGCATTGCAATCAAGCAGATCGGCTTCTCCCGTTCCCCCGACGTCGTCCATCTCGCCCAAAACTGTGCGCGCCTAGACACGTTGGGGCTGCACCTGCACGCGGACCAGCTCCCGGACGCGGACGCGCTCGCACGGCTGCTGCCTGCACCGTCGCAATGCGGGCTGCGCCGCCTCACCGCATTTGCGGGTGTCAATATCGAGAACCCGGCCAAGGTCGCGGGCGTCCTCGCGCGTTTGTTCCCTGTGCTGCGCGAGGCGGAGTACGGAAGAATAGCGTGGGTCCTGGAAGGGGAGAAGCGGCCGTTTGAGGGCAGTTGGGCGATGGTGCAGCGGCTGCTTGGGTGGAGATTGGGCGTTACGAACGGGTTTGAGGAAGACGCTTCGTTCATGAGCTTGTCGGTATCTTGTCGTGGGCGCCGGTAGTGCCCCAGTCTAATCAATTCAAACGAACTCGCCTTGATTCATTCGCGGGCGATATCTACCAAGCGTATTTTTCTCTATGAACTTACCTGCCACCTTCGCAAGAACCATTGTGACGGTACCGGCAAAACTTGCAACTTGAAGCTCGCAAGCGGCGCTGCAGGCACGGCTGCACTGCATTGCAATCAAGCAGATCTCGATAGGGTAGACGCAGATCGCCATGATCTATAGACCATCGTGTCTTCCACCTCCAGCCATGCATTCCGTCCATCCCGCTCTCTCCAGTCCGACGTCATCCTCTCCAGCATTCGCCTTTGTGCCTCTCCTCTCGACTTCCTGCTCGTCGCACGTTCGTGACCATAGAGCCGGAACTTGCCAGTGCAGATCTCCCGACATCCGGCCTATATAGCCCGCAGCCCTCACATAAGACGCGACATATAACGCACCCGTCTCTACCTCCAATCTCCAATCGATTGCTCGCGTACCCCGCACTGGAAAACACCAGCACCCGAGCATCGCACCCCGCGCATCCACACCAGCAGAGATCAGACCATGGCCACCGTCTTCAAGGTCCTCCCCACCACCCAGCAGTACGACTGGGGCACGATCGGCCACTCCTCCAAAGTCGCGCAGTACGCCGCAGCATGCAAGCTCCCCGGCTTCACGCTCGACGAGAACACGCCCTACGCCGAAGTAAGCACCGTCCCTCTCCCCTCTCCCCCCTCATCCCATCCCTCCCTGACTGGATAGACGTGATCACCAGCTATGGATGGGCACGCACCACACCTCGCCCTCACGCCTGCTCGACTCGGAGAAGCTCTCTGACCACCTCGCCGCGCACCCGGAGCTGATGGGCGCGCGCGTCGTCGAGCGGTTCCGCGCCGCGGGCGCGGCGGAGGGCAACCTGCCCTTCCTCTTCAAGGTGCTCGCGATCGGGAAGGCGCTCAGCATCCAGACGCACCCCGACAAGGCGATGGCGGAGAAGCTCCACCAGGAGCGGCCGGACGTGTACAAGGGTGCGTATATGCGCCTCATCCCCCTCCCCACATCCCCCATCAAGCATCGTTCGCACTTGCTAACGAGCACCCCGCGCGCAGATGCGAACCACAAGCCTGAAATGGCGCTCGCGCTCACGCCGTTCCAGGCGATGTGCGGCTTCCTCCCCCTCCCCCGCATCGCCGCCTACCTCTCCGCCGTCCCCGAGTTCGCCGCACTCGTCCCGCCCGCGATCGCCGCGCAGTTCGCCGCCGCCGCGTCCTCGGCGGACCCGCGCGGCCCCGCGGAGAAGGCCGCGCTCAAGGACGTGTTCGCGGCGGTGATGACCGCGGACGCGGCGCTCTTCCAGCCGCAGCTGGAGCGGCTCGTGCGGCGGTACGAGAACGGGGAGGTGCACGATGTGGAGCGGGACGTGCAGGAGCTCGTTGTGCGGCTGCACAGCCAGTTCCCGGGGGATATTGGCGTGTTTTGCGCGTTTGTGCTTAACCATCTTACGCTGAAGCCCGGGGAGGCAATCTTCCTCGCGGCGGGCGAGCCGCACGCGTACGTCGCTGGAGGTGAGTCGCTGTATGCGCGGTTCGCTCCCTTGAACATTCGACTTAACTGCCCCGCCGTCCTGCAGATATCGTCGAGTGCATGGCGACCTCGGATAACGTCATCCGCGCCGGGCTAACGCCAAAGCTGCGCGACGTCCCGAACCTCGTCGCAGGCCTCACCTACAACGCCGCCCCAGCATCGAAACACCTCGTGCAGCCGAGCACGTTCGCCCCCGGCGCCCAACACAGCACGCTCTACGACCCGCCGATCCCGGAGTTCTCCATCGTGCGCACGGAGCTCGCTGCGGGGGCGCGCGAGGCGCACCGCGCAGTCGACGGGCCGAGCGTCGCGATCGTCACGGAGGGCGCGGGCGCGGTGACGTGGGGCGGCGGGGAGAGGCTGGCGGTGGCGGAGGGGGAGGCGTTCTTCGTGGGCGCGGGGCAGGAGGTGGGCGTCGAGGCGGGGGCGAAGAGGCTGGTTGTGCACAGGGCGTTTGTGGAGGCGAAGTGAGCTCGCGCGGGGCGGACACGAATGCGTACCGAAGAAGCCGGAGATCTGTTGTAAAGTAGCATCAAACGCGCCCGAGGAGAGGCTGTTCGTCGAAGGTGTTGTGGGGTGCGTCGGCGGGCGAGGATGGGTATGATATTCGTACGGAGTACGTACGCTGCTGATGTGCAAGTGCCTTGAGGCTGGTATTAGGCTGATGGGGCACAGGCTTTTTTCTGCGTCCGCGCAGGTGCGAAGATGGAAGAGCAGTCTGGCAATTTCAGTAATTGTTCTCGCGGATACTTGGGAATTCTGTGCAGCTGCGGACTCTTGAGGGGACGCTGACCGAAGGCTGGCTGAAATGTACCATCAGCTCACGCAGACACCCAAAGTTTTCCATCGTGTGGGCATCGTGTGTGGGCACATGGGAGTATCGATGACTGCGGTTTATTTGTCCCAGCCAATCCAAGGCGGCTCGTGTTGCATTGGCTGGGGGTCGCAATGCGCGTGCAACCATTGGGGTAGCCGTGTTCTCGATTCCCAGCAGGCAGTGAGTTGGAATATCCATGGGCAGAGGTTGCTGTATCGGAAACGCAGGCGGGGATAGCAGCGCTTGCAGTCGTTGGGGATGCTAAAGCTTAATGATAGGGAGCACATCGCCAAGGACGACGAGGGCATCAATGAAAACGACGTGGGCGAGGACGGGCACGATGAGCAGCAGCGTTGCGAAAGAGATGAGCCAGACTGCCGCCGGGTGGCGCCCGGCTAAGACGGAGCCCGAGCGATCGTCTTCGCAGCCGCTCGTCCCTGGTCCGACGCGCCGTAAGGTTTCTCTCAGGGTCCCCTCCTCCGACCACGCCTCGTCCTCCGTCCAGATTCTGAGTGCAAGCATGCGCGCGGGGCAGTGCCGCAGATACCCCCGCTCCGGGGCTGCCTCGTCCTTCTCTCGCCGCCCGAGACATACGTATACGATATTCGTCCCCAATTGTTCGCGCAGCCGACCGCGGGATGCATAAGAACACGCCGAGTGCAGACATACAAGCTCCGTTTCCGCGCACCCGCCGCGACCGTCGACGTCAGCCGTCTCCCGGTTCCTATTCCCCGCCGCAGCCGTGCGTTCGCTCGCGGCGCGCATCGATGCCAGCCCCCTAAAACTTCCTTCCGGCCGAGCATCGAATTCCAGTCAGCCTCGAGCCCAGCACGCTAAGCCCAAGCCCGCCACCACCGCCGTCAGCCTTGGTCCCCCCCCAGCCCGAGTTAGCCGCCACCGTCGCAGTGGCGCCGCGTACCGACCTGACCCCCTCTGCTGCTGACCGCCTTTTCTTGCTGCCAATTGCCCCCGAGGGGTGTCTCTGACGACCATTCACGACGCCCCGCCGGGCCCATGGCGCTCACCTCGTCGGAGGAGGCGCTTCTCCTCGCGGCCCTCCCGACTATCGAGAAGACGCGGTATGCCGAACGTGCGTAGCAGGATTTGCGTTGTACAGAGAAGCCTTTTGTTGACAGATACGCAGTTGCCAGTACCGTCATCATCTTGTTTGATCACCGTAAGTCGCGTGCCTTTCGTGCCGTAGTGGGACGCGCCCTAACGTTGTTTGGCTTCACAAAGTCATCACGCTTGATCAAGAGGTAAGCTCAATCCAATGGCCAGGTTTCTGTTAGCATAGCTGACGGTACCTGTGATAGATCAATCTCATATGGGTACGCCCGTTTGTCAATGCATAGGGGCATCCACTGATGCGACTTTCACTTCAGCGGGCACACTGGGGGTTAGGAAAAGTCCTGTTCCTCATTGTGAGTACCCTCTGCCACACATTGTGCGAACCGCGCCTCACATGCAACACAGAACCGATATTATGCCCTAGTCATAGTCATGTACGTCTTCCTACAGGCCATGTCCCCCGTAGGATGCTAATGCCGTACTACTCTCAGCTTCAACAACTATGGTCAGAAATTCCGGCCGCCTGGTCTATGAAAACGAACTGACGTCCCTTATAGCGCTGTTCAATTCCAACCAACTCACAGACTCAGTGAGTGGACATTTTGTATCTTTCCTCGTATGGCCCGCTCACCGACACTCTCCTTATAGTTGTATGTTGTTCCTCGCGCATCACAAGTTCGATCCTCACCAGGTTCTCCGCTAGCTGTCTGTCCTGGTTTAGGTGGCAAGGCTGGACGGGTGTTCTGACTTTCATCGTCGCAGAACGTGAGTCTTCCCTTCCCGCCCGCGTCGATCACCCTCTAAGCTGCGCCGTCGCTGCAGTGATCCTTCAATTGCGCCTGTACGCTCTCTACTTCCGCGACAAGCGCGTTCTGGTCTGCATGTCCTTCGTTTGCGCCGGAACCGCCGCTACCTCCGCATACGTGATGGGCGCTGCCCTCTCCAGCATCACCTGTACGTCCCCCATTCGACCAGCGTCTAAGTAGAAGTACTAACGTCGAGACAGCTACCGCAGTGTGGCTCCCGCACAAACACTCGACGGTGTGCATCCCGAGCAACGTCCCCGCGCACTTCTACGCGTTCTGGATCCCGATGCTCGTCTCCGAGAGCGTGCTGTGCGGGCTCGCGCTCGTCCGCGGCTTCCGCGCGTACACCCCCGGCTCGAACGTGTTCCAGAACGGGAAGCGCATCATCGAGATCCTCGTCCGCGACTCGCTCTTCTACTTCGTCATGTGCGTCCCCCCTCCCCTCCCCTCACGCTCTCTCCCCCCCGTATCTTTCTTTTTTCGCTGTATGGAGACGAGACTTACACGGGGCCGCACAGCATCTTCGCGACGTACCTCGTCAACACCGTGCTGTTCATCACGCAGTCCGACTCCGAGGTCGAGATCCCGATCGGGTTCGCCGTCGCGCTCTCCGTCGTGCTTTCGAACCGCCTCTGCCTGAACGTGCGCGGCTACATCCGCCCCGCGGACGACTCCCTCCCCGGGTCCCTCCCCGCGCGCGCCCCCGCGCTCGTCGACCTCTCGCGCTCTGGGTACACGTCGCACACGCATGCCGGGTACGACGACGACGATAGGGACGGGGAGGAGGGGGAGGACGATGGGTACGGGGTGGCGCCGACGACGTTCTCGGTCGTGCATGGGGGCGTGCTGAGCGATTTGGAGATGCATGAGTTGCGTGCGATGCGTGCGCAGAGCCCGAAGCACGTGCGGACGTTTTCGTAGCGCCTCCGCCGCCTCTTCATTCTGCCGCGTGTATATCCCCCATTCCCCGAGCACTTCTACTGTATCCTCCCCACTTCACACCATCTCTGGGCCGTCGCTCCCTAGCGCATCACTGTCATAGTGTCTGTTGTATCACCCGACCTGTACGCTCGTTCTGTGTATGTAGATATATCCTACCGCGGCCACCTTGCCGCTTGGCTACCTCACTCCAATATCGGCTAACCGAACGCATCCAGACTCCTTTGATTCGGAAGCTTCAGTGAAGGGATCACTGGGTGTTCGATTCAACGCAAGTCCCCAGATGATCCTCAGCTAGTGGTCCACGGTATGCATTCAACTTTTTTGTGTCACATCTGTTACACTATAACGGTGGATACAATGTCCATGATTTTTCCAAAGAAGTTCAGAAGTCGTAGAAGGAGTGTGGCTGCCGCGCACGGCAAAAGTTTTACAAGAAAATGAACGAAGCGTTTCCCTCGAACCCATTTAGGGTCCATTCGTAACATCCAATCTCCACCCAAGCAGCCGCTGCACCATCTCCCATCTGCCCTCAAACGGCTGCTGGTCCCCTTCCGGGACCCACGCTATCTTCCCATATTCCGCCTCGCGCAGCACAGGAAATAAACGCGCGAGGACGCCCGCCACCTCGGCCGGGTTCTCGATGTTTACCCCCGCAAATGCGGTGAGGCGGCGCAGCCCGCATTGCGACGGTGCGGGCAGCAACCGTGCCAGCGTTTCCGCGTCGGGGAGCTTGTGCGCGTGCAGGTGCAGCCCCAGCGTGTCCAGGTGTGCGCAGTTTTGGGCGAGAGGGACGAGGTTGGTGAGCGTGAGGCAGGGGGTGTTGCTACCTGGGGGGTAGGGATTATAGCTGTTCAGCGAGAGGGTCGCGAGCTGAGGCCATGCGTGCGCGATGTCGCGAATGGAATTTGCGCTTACGGCCAGCGCGGGGCATTGGATGCAGACATAGTCGATGTGGGGGAAGGCGTAGAGCGGCCGGAGAGCGACCCCGACGTCGATCACTGGGGGGATGGCGGTTTCGGATGGACGGACTTGCGTACGGCCGAGGTCTAGTTGTAAGTGGGTGAAGGAGTCGCGGTGCGCGGCGCGCGCGACGAGTGCAAGGTGCTGCTTGATTGTGTCGGTGTTGGGTTGCTTCTGTGTGCTGAGCTGGACCTGTCGCAGGTTCCCCTCCGGGAGAGCACCGAGGAACGTCTTCGTGCTCCCGTCCATCCGGACAAGGCCGAGATCGAGCATTTTGAGGGTGTTGAACCACGCATCTTTGCGTATGTCGCAACCCGTTATCGTAGCCATCTCGTACTCGTTGACGTACACTTCCATCGCGGAGAGCCTGGGTAGCACCGCCAAAGCCTCTACACAGATTGCTGGCAAGAAGACGTTGCCCCTGTAGCTCGTGAGCTCCTTCAAGCTATAGAGGAGTTGCCCGTAGGCGTCCCCGACGTTGCCCGAAAACTTCTGCAACATGTAGCCTGACAAACGGTGCATACGGAGTTCCAGGGAGGTCACGCGTTTGCACGCCTCCCGTATACGCTTGAAGGGCGACGCCAAAACCGAAGGGACGATGTTGTTGAATTGCAGTGCGAGGTGTGTGATGGTTGGCGAGAGGAAAAGGTGGAGGATGCGCAAGTGTGTCACGCGGGAATCTTGGAAATGGAGCGTTCGGAGCTGCGGGAGGAGCGGCTGGCCGGCGGGGAGGCGCGCACATAGCGCCAACAGAGATTCCAGGCAGACATCCTGCCGCTTGTTCCAGACGAAGCGTCGCACGTACTGAGCGTAGTACTTGATCCGCGTCCATTCGAGTCTGCGGGGCCGTATTATCCGCTGCAAATGCGGCCAGTCAGTCGATATACGGAAAGACGAGATCAGTACAAGGGACGTACGAAGATGTGTCCACCGCCCTCGAGGGGTACCTCCTCCCATGCGCAGGATGGTAAAAGCCGCAAGAGCGGTACAAGGCTACGTTGATCTCGCCAGAGTGCGGCTGCGGACGCTTTGTGCAGCGTCTTGCATGTCCGCACGAGTGAGACCAGCGTGCGCTTGCCGCTCGGGGACAAGCAGAGCCATTCCACTATGAACTGGAATATCTCGCTGATGGCAAGGCAGCGGTGGCTTGCGGGTATTGATAATGCGTTCATTGTCGCTTGTCAGCCTGGAAAAGAGAGCGCAATGATGATTAGCATTCAGTGAGTCTCCAGTAGCGCGCTGACGTACTTTGTGTGTTGTGTTTGATGCTCCGGCTGTGAATGTGTTTGTGTGTCGGTGCGTGTGGCTTTCATTAGCCACGCAGGCATTTATATGCACTCGGCATTCGTACGCATGGACTACTACCTGAGTGGCGCATCCGCAGCAGGGCAGCTTTGACAGCCAAGCGGTGAGAGTCAACGCGCCGTAGGCCCATGTTGCGACGCATAGTGCGATGAAATTGGTTCATCAGAGGTATTCTTATATGGCCCTACGCTTGAAGCTTCGTTAGCCACCGCGGTCAATGCATCCCCGAGCAGAGAAAGAGACTCACCAACAACCTGCGCCGGGTCCAAGGAGACTGAGAC